AGCTGCTATTGGAGACCGCTGCAGCCCCAGAATGGAATCCACTTTGTGCCCTGGCCAGGCCAGCCTTACTCAGCCACGGTCCTTCTCCAAGGCAGGCCCTCGGTGCCCCAACATCACTGGGGGCTGGGACCATCCGTGACACCAGGCACACAGCAGCCTTAGGATGTCAGCAGTTCAAGGGAGTGTTTGTCTTGTGGAGTGAAATATCTCACGTCCTGGTGGGAGGGATCTATCTGGAGAGTGAGTTTCCACACAAGCCAAGCTTTGTCCAGCCTGGGGAGGTACCCAGGAGGAGATGCCAGGGAGATGTCTGTTCTACAGGGTTCATGGGGTCACAAGGTCATGGTTCAGGGAAAGCCATCTTCCGGGGTACTTGACCTCTGGGCTGCAAGTGTAAGTTCTGAACCCTGAACTGGTCCGGCTGGGGCACCGGGTGCACCCAGAACCTGGGTCAAGTCCCCCAACCCTGCCCACCAACTGACGGCCAACAGTGAATTTGCAGTCTAGCGCCTCTCCTTTAGTGAATAATTAGATGAGAGGTAAAATTATGTAGGAGTGATGAAGCCTCATGCTGCCTCCTCTTGGTGAAAGATTTCAGATGGTGACTTCCAGACGGAAAGAGAGGTTGTGAGGGTGCTGCCCTGAACCCACCACCAGGGGGCGCAGCTGGGCAAGCGCTGCTGTCCGTCTCTGCAGGGTTTCCAGAAAGTGGGGGGGGGCGGGGGGGGGGGCTTGCTGCATCCCCTTTTGTATTGCTTTCCTTGGAAGCTGCAGGAAAAGACGAGAAATAAGCAGCAGTAGCAGCAACAGCATGTGTAGGTTGGTGCCCTGGGACAGCGACCTCTGAAGGCAGCGGCCAGTGGGGTGCCCTGTTACTGACCAGCGTCCCCTAGAGTGCCTCATGCCTTCCTCTCAACACTCAGAAACCCTGCTACTTGCTATGCACCCCACTTTCTCCACTACAAAATAGGTATGGTACTAGGACCCATCTTAGTAGGTTGTAGAATTAATGACTTAAAACACACAAAATGCTCCAAGCATTTGCCACTGGCACAGTCTCATGGCCCCTGGCATTTCATTCTTTCTATGCAGCCCCTACATCACCTGGGCCCACGGAGTAACATTTTCTTTTCCTTTTTGTAAAAATTGTTGACACTGTTACAGATGTCCACCCCCCCCCCTTTGCCCTCCTCCACTCAGCGCCGCCCACTGTGCAACATTTCCACATCTCGCTGATCCACCTGCCGTGTAGGAGGCGTGGTGCTCCGGGCCCTGGGGTGGGGCAGCGCTGAACATCACCTTTCAAAGGGATATAGTTAACTTTGAGGGCACTGCGTGCCGATGAATTCAGAGGCGCTGGATGTCCAGTTTCTGTCTCCCCCAGGGGAACGGAAGCGCCGAGTGGCCAGGTGTCTGCTTCCATCACTGCCCTGCCCCTAGTGTTTAGAACAGTGCCTGGCCCATGGTAGGAGTTCAATAAACATTCATGGATGACAGTGGGGAATATGCTTGTGACGGAATAAAAACTTGTTTTAAAAAACTGTGCTACTATAGGGTGCCCATTTTGTTAAAAAGCGATATTTATCTATCTCCATATATAGCTCTCTCCATATGTATCTAGAGCAGCGGTTCTCAACCTGTGGGTCATGACCCCTTTGGGGGTCGAACAACCCTTTCACAGGGGTCACCTAAGACCATCGGAAAACACATATATAATTACATATTGTTTTTGTGGTTAATCACTATGCTTTAATTATGTTCAATTTGTAACAATGAAATTGGGGGTCACCACAACATGAGGAACTGTATTAAAGGGTCGCGGCATTAGGAAGGTTGAGAACCACTGCTATAGAGAGCACACACCTCAGTGAAATATGGGAAAATTCTTACTGATAAACTGAAGGTAATGCGATGATTATTTCTGTTATTTCCCACACGATGCACAATGAAAATGCGTATTGGATTTTGGGGAGAAGGATAACATTGGAAGAGTAAGATGGAGACATTGCCATGGGTGTTTGGGGGCCCTGGGAAGGGACACACCCAGGTGTCGCTGGTGTTGCTCCATCAGGTGTGTCCGGGCTGAAGTGGCCGAGGGCTGCCTGGGGCCTGCCCTGTCCCTGCCCCCGGAGGACTATGTTGTCCCCCCTCGTTTACTGGTGTCTGAGTAGGTGTGGGGACAACAGGGACAGAGGAGGAAACTGGGTCAGGCCTGGGTCTACAGGGAGCCACCACCGGGGACCACTGGCCAAGCCTGTCGTGATGGAAAATGTCACTGAGTGAGCCACTTGCATCAGCCCTCCCCCTCCCCCCCCATCCCCGTAAGCTGATTCTTTGGGAGACCTCGATGAGCGGGAAGTCCAGGAGAACGACTTATAGGCAGCCTGGACAATTTGGCTTCACCCCTCCCTAAATTTAAATGGCCATCTGGCTGGCCGACCTCGCCAAGCAGGAGGCGTGGGTTCCGCCCTTGCCCCCTGCCTGGGCCACTCTGCTGGCCGAGCCTCCGCACGGAGACAGGACAGAAGCAGGTCGATGGCCACCAGGGGCCTGCAGGCTGGAGGCTCTGGTTTCCTTCCTACTTGGAAGCAATTGTGGCAGCAACAGTGAATAAACAGCTCTCACTGCTCTGTGGGTGTAGATTCCCCAAGGTCACCTGCTCTCTCTGTCTCCTAGGCTCACCTCGCCTCTCAGCACCCCTGGGCCTGGTGTGTGTCTCCGGCGGGAAGGAGGGGTGGGCTAAGCACGGCTGTGCTCGCTCTCCTCAGGTCGCACCTGCTCTGGGGGAGCCTCTGCAAGGACAGAGGGGCCTCCACTGGCCAGGCGCACCCAGGATGGAGGCTCAGAACTTTTCCACAGATCTCCTCGCTCAAGGGTTTCCAGCTTCCAGGGAGACCTGGCTTTCCTGCCCGCCTCTCAGGAGCTTGGCATGTGAGCAGGAGGCATGAGCCACAACCACCGTGCCTGCAAACCAAGGTTCCTCTAGGCCAGCAGTTCTCAACCTGTGGGTCGCGACCCCTTTGGGCAGGGGTCCTCAAACTACGGCCCGCGGGCCACATGCAAATACAAATATTGTATTTTTTCCCGTTTTGTTTTTTTACTTCAAAATAAGATATGTGCAGTGTGCATAGGAATTTGTTCATAGTTTTTTTTTTTAACTATAGTCCAGCCCTCCAACGGTCTGAGGGACAGTGAACTGGCCCCCTGTTTAAAAAGTTTAAGGACCCCTGCCTTTGGGGGTCGAAGGACCCTTTCACAGGGGTCGCCTAAGACCATCGGAAAACATATATATATAATTACATATTGTTTTTGTGATGAATCACTATGCTTTAATTATGTTCAATTTGTAACAATGAAAATACATCCTGCATAGCAGATATTTACATTACGATTCATAACAGTAGCAAAATGACAGTTATGAAGTAGCAACGAAAATAATTTTATGGTTGGGGGTCACCACAACATGAGGAACTCTATTAAAGGGTCGCGGCATTAGGAAGGTTGAGAACCACTGCTCTAGGCCAGTGGTCGGCAAACTGCGGCTCGGCAAACCGCGGCTCGAGAGCTACATGCGGCTCTTTGGCCCCTTGAGTGTGGCTCTTCCACAAAATACCGGCTCTTCCACAAAATAACGACTTCTGCGCATGGGCCACGAAGTTTCAATCGCACTGCACGTGCGCGCCCGCACGTGGTATTTTGTGGAAGAGCCACACTCAAGGGGCCAAAGAGCCGCATGTGGCTCGCGAGCCGCGGTTTGCCGACCACGGCTCTAGGCTGTCACCCTGGACTCACTCTCCCCGCAGACACCCCCAGACGGCATGGACAAGGCCCAATGAACAGTGAAACATGCTTCTGATTTGGGAGAGTTTATATGCGAAGTAGCGAAAAAAATTGCCAAACTAGCCACACTGTGCAAGCATGAGATGCACATGGCTCAGAATGAGGCCAGCTACACACAGCGGCAAGGGATGGATGATGGACAAACGGAAAAGGGTGACCTGGGGCCAGGCACCTTCCTGGCCTGTGGCACAGCGCCAGCTGTAGGGGAACCAGAGAAAGGACTCGGGCCCATGCTGCTCTGTGGCGAGGGCTCAGAGCCCTGCTCAGCCCACCCCTCCTTCCCGCCAGAGTCTCCTCCTCCCACTCCCACACCAGCCAGGGGACACACAGTGGTTTCTTGGAAAGTTCCTCGGTGCCTTTCTAGTTGGCAGCAGTTGGTGGTCGGGCGCAGGGACAGGGGGCTGTGACACAGGGTACTTGCCTGCTTCTCCTAGTCCAGGGGGACGAGCAGCAGAGCCCAGCCTCGAGGTGTGATGAGCCCTCAGCGCAGTGGCCTATTCTGTCACCTGCTCATTTGTCAGGGCAGCCCCAGAGCCCCGCCCAGGAGAGCTCATCTCTGGGGCAGCATCTCAGCTCCCTGATTCAGGCTGTCTCTGAGCCCACAGGTAATCTGGGACTGATTCTGTGGGCCCACTCCAGGTCTGTGGGTCTGACTTTGTTTATGAGGTTTCCTAGGATCTGAAGGGTTGTGTGCCCATGGCTCCCCGAGCCCAGCATCGTGCCATCTCCCTGAGCCCAGCATCATGCCATCTCCCTGAGCCCAGCATCATGCCATCTCCCCGAGCCCAGCATCATGCCATCTCCCCGAGCCCAGCATCGTGCCATCTCCCCGAGCCCAGCATCGTGCCATCTCCCCGAGCCCAGCATCACGCCATCTCCCCGAGCCCAGCATCGTGCCATCTCCCCGAGCCCAGCATCGTGCCATCTCCCTGAGCCCAGCCTCATGCCATCTCCCTGAGCCCAGCCTCATGCCATCTCCCTGAGCCCAGCCTCATGCCATCTCCCTGAGCCCAGCCTCATGCCATCTCCCTGAGCCCACCTCCCTTTCCCCATTTATATTTCATGGAACAAGATGCACGGAAGGAAGGGGATCTGCCGAGGGCAGCGGAAGAGGGAGAACGTCTTTGTTCACTCTTTATTGTGTCTTTTTAAAAGATGGCATCATGGCTCACCCAGTGGGTCAGTGATTCACACGCGCGTCATTGGTGCCCTTCAAACAGGTTCCTGTGGGGTTTCCAGGGCTGCTTGTCTGCGTCCCTCTGCATCTCCTGGCCAACCTCAGGAGACAGAAGTGGAGACCCTCGGTTATCGGCCAGAAAGGAGTGGGTGCTGAGGGGAACCGAGGAAGCTGGGGGGGCGGTCAGGCAGGCAACCCGGCCCCCTCTATTCTACTTCCTGTCCCCCCAGACTCCCCCGGTTCACCCCTGTCACCATGTGCAAAGTACCTTCTCCAGGGCCGTTACACACTCTCCTTCACCTTCTTTCTGGTGGAGTATGGAATGCAGCACACCCAGCTGGTCCTGGTCCTGGCGGCCGAGAGGAGGGGAGGGGCTGAGAGAGAGGCAGGCCCCAGGCCACAGGTGCTGGCAACACCCCTTGAACCCCAAACGCACGCCACGGGGTCTCTGCTCCAATCTCTACTGCACCCCACTGCTCATGTCCCGGGGAGCCAAGGTCTTGTCTCTGTGGCTCCCGGGCCCCGCGCACAAAAGCGGATTCCAGTGCAGAGCCAGGCTTGCCTTTCCTCCAGATGCTCGAGGTTTACCCGCCCACCACCATGGCTGCCGTCCTCTGTCCTGGAAGGCCTGGGCCAGGAGGGACCCGTGGACACGAGAGACCCTTAAAGACTAGCTGAGCCAGGTGTCACAGGGGTGGTTCCCACGGCCAGCCCAGCCTGTGCTTGCCTCCCTGTGGGGTGGTCACTGGGGTTTCCACTTCCAAAGCTGCCTCAGTATGAGATGGCAGCCCCCCTCCCTTGGCAGGAACCACCATGGCTTGGTGCCCATATGTCCCGCTGGCTGCTATGGGCTACTGGAATATGGGTACTTGACCCCACCATCTGAGCGGGCCCGAGGCACAGGCTGGACAGAGAAGCCTTTTGCTCTGAGGGAAACTGAGCTTGCAGGTGAGCAGCACAGCAGAACAAACAGGTGACTCGCCCAGCAAGTGTCCAGGCCTAGCCCTCCAGGGGGCCCACTGCAGACCCCCTTCCCACTGGCCTAGAGGCCTCCAGTGGCCACAGCTTGCTTTTTGAGTGCTGGCCTGCCTCACAGGTTTCCCGGGGCAGCTGGGTCCTGGGGGTGATGGGCCGAGACCCAGAGACCAGGAGGGTGGACCTGGGATTGTCCGACCTTCGGGGCAGAAAATAAAGCTGCCAAACTGCACCTAGTGTGGCTGAATCTGTCACTATGTCCATTAAGCAGCGAAGAGGAAAATAAAGGTCTGCTTAGGAAAAGACTGCTTATTTTAGGCCTAGATTTGAGAGCGTGACAAGACCATCCCCAAATCTTTCACGTCATAAAAGCCAACGTGACCAGCTGGGTAAGTCGAGATCAGAAGAGAGGTGGGTCGTCCGAGTGACGACGGAATGAAAATGCCTCACGGAAACGCTCTCCCCAAACACACACACATCTGGGCGGAAAGCAGCAATAATGACAACAGCCAAATAGGCGAAGGGCCGTAATGCTAGAAGCATTCAGAGCTGGCGATCCAGAAAAATGGCACCGACGGAGGAGCCCATTTTCACCAGGAGCCAATTTTCACCAGCGCCTGTCTGTGCGTCCGAATCTACACTTCAAAACCAGGTCCGAATCTACACTTCAAAATCCAGTGTGGTCCTCACTGTTCCTGAGAGAGAAACTGGGGTGATTTCCTCTTTGCTGTGCTATTTCACCTTATTTAAGGTATTTAAAATGACCGTGTGTCAGTTTTACAAAGCAAATGGAATTTTTTTAAAAGTATGCAAACAATTAAACCAAGATATTAATATAGTTGTTCATTCTGAGTCGTGAGAAGTTGAATACATTGCTCTTTTCTTCCTTGTGTTTTTCTCTGTATTGTTTAAAATAAAATAGGTCCGTGGGCCCTTGGGTGGCCTGGAAGTAAGTACCCCACCTTCTCCCAGCACCCTTAACGGCCTCGGGAAGTGGTGGGGCTTCAATGGCCCTACACAATCTTCACCCCAATAGAGTGTGGGTGGTCAGGACCCATGTGAGGGGTCCTCCCACTGCCGGCAGGACCAAGATGTGTGACCTTTTGCAGCCCATGAGGTGATATTCTACTCTCATCTTCCTTTCTTCCCTTCTTTTTCCTTCCCCCGGGTTCTGCCCATTTTGTTGCTTGATTGGATGGGAAGAGAGAGTCTGGCTATGGAGTAAGGTGGGACTCAAAGCAAAGGTTGTGCCAGATCCCTTACAGCAGTTCTCAACCTGTGGGTCTCGACCCCTGAAAATACATCCTGCATATCAGATAGTTCCATTACGATTCATAACAGTAGCAAAATTACAGTTATGAAGTAGCAATGAAAATAATTTTATGGTTGGAAGTCACCACAACATGAGGAACTGTATTAAAGGGTCGCGGCATTAGGAAGGTTGAGAACCACTGCAGGAGGTTCGATGCCCTGTTGCCCACCTCTCAGCCCCTCCAGCCTCGGTAAATGCTTAGGACACTGCGTGCATCTAGAGGAAGAGGGAAGGCACAGTGGACCCACTAGAAACCCGGGTAGAGGAACAGTCTCCCCACCTCCCCGAGCATGAGCCCAATACTCACTCATCTTCTGACAAATCCCCCATGTCCATTTGGGACCACTTCTCTTCTCTCGTGGCACATGTGACCACCTGCGAGAAGCAGCAGAAGCACTTTAGGGGATGGGGTGGAGGAGGGGGTCAACCACAGGCCCCAGGCCGGACATGCTGGGCCTGCCCAAGGGTCAGATGGAGACATGAAGACTGCACTGGCCCTGAGCTCAATCCCACAAGACTGGGAACCATCAAGTGGAGATTTCTAATTACGGGGCCCTGACCAAGGAGCTGTGGCCTGGATACGGGCCACCATGACCTCTAGATTGTAGATCAGGATACGTGGGCCCTTAGTCTCAACTCTGCCTCTTTGAGTCCTTAGAACATGTGGTGCCCCGTGTTAGCCTTGTCAGGAGTTAATCAGCTCTCTTCGCTGTACAGCATGTTCTGAGGGCAAAGAGATAAAAGGTGCAATTTGGAAAAAAAATAACCCTCAGGCCGGAGCTTAAAGTGGCCAAGACAAAAATATCTACAAGCATGACTGCTCACTACAGCAGAAGAATGGAAAAGACATCCCAGAGAGACCTTTGAGTCAAACACTTCTCTTTACAGAAAATGATGATGATGATGATGATGATGATGATGATGATGGTGATGATGGGATGATGATGGTGATGATGCTGCTGCTGAACATGATGGTGATAGTGGTGATGATGTAATGATGGTGATGGTGGTGATGATGTAATGATGGTGATGGTGGTGATGATGGTGGTGAAGATGGTGATGATGATGATAGTTATGATATCGATGATGGTGGTGGTGGTGGTGGAGTAAGGTGGGACTCAAAGCAAAGATTGGGCCAGATTCCTTAGGTGGTTAGATGATGCTACCTAGTACTGAGGCTTTCTGGGTACTAGACACTGTTTGAGGGCTTTATAGAACAACCCTGGGGTGTGGGTACTACTAAGATACCCATTTGACATATGAGACAACTGAAGCCCAGAGAGGTATAGTGACTTGTTTGAGCATTTACTGGCAGAGCTGGATATGGAGGCCAGGTCTCCTAATTCCTAAGCTTGTGCCCTTTCTAACACCCCAGCATGATCCCACAAGAGGTTCTCAGGGCCCATGGGCACCCCAATGATTGACCCAGGCCCTAGAGTGTTGGAATGCATGCAGGTTAGAGGTAGGGAGGATGAGAAAGAGGAGGGGGTGCCCTCCAGCCCCCTAGACCAGTCCTCAACACCCTGGAGCTTTCTTGATGCTGCTGTCCCTGTCTTTGCCTCAGCCTCCAACACACACATGCACGGGGCGAGTTCCCCAGAAAAGCTTTGTGGGCCTGAGCACAAGCATTTCCTGGTGGGTGGTTTGGCTTTGTTGTGTGAAGGGCTTTTACCTCTTCAGCATGGTCTCCCAGATCAATCTCCACAAACATAGATGGTTTCTGTGAATGAAAACCAAAGAGACGTGGAAGAAAGACTTGCGTAAGCTAGGGAGGTGAATAGACTTTCTGGGAGGTAGAGTGGACTCCTGACCCCCACTCAGGGTCTGAGCAATGACCACTGGGACCACCAGACACTGGCAGTGCTCAGTGCGGGCTCCTGAGAAGCTGGGGAGAGAGCTGCTGGCAGTGTGGATGGCAAGGTGTCCGTGGGCCATCTCTGGCAGAGGAGGGAGGGGGAGGAACATGGCCTTCCTACATCTCCCTGCTCACCTCCCATCAGGGCCCTGAGACCCAGAGGTTTCTCCCACCTTTGCCCTCTGAGAACCAGGGCCTCCGGGAGACAGGCGATGTCCAGATCTGGAGCAGCCCCTCCAAGCCCACTTCAGACCTGCTCAACTGGGAAGCACCTTTAATTCTGCCTCCAGAAACCTACCTGGGACCCCACTTTACCCGGTCATGAAGGCTCGCACTGAGGTGTGAGAAGCCCAGGCAGCTCAGGTGTTGCTGCCCCAGGGTCTCTTATTGGCACCTTGGCTCAGTCCAGAATGTGTTTCCAATGGTAGCACTTTAATCAACCCCAAGGGAAGTATTGGGGGTGGGTGAAGGACTCCCCAGAACCCCTGAGTCACACCAAGGACCATCTGTCGTAAATCCTGGTAAAACACATCCAACTACCTCTCCATTCCCTACCACACGGATTAGGAATGAGAATAACAGCCACCTTCCCTGAGAAAGTGCCCTGTGCCAATTGCTACTATAGCACTGACATGTCTCTGGCCAACGTACCGGGGCCTGGGGCTCAGGGTGTTTCCCTAGTCAAGCTGAGTATTGCCTCCTGTCAAGGACCCACATGCCTTTAGTCACTGCACTATTTGGAATTAGGATGCCCCAGCATGAGGACAAGAGCACAGAGCTTGACCTGGAAGGCTCTCTGGGGTCAGGGCAAGGCTTGGTCCAGCCTGTACCATGGTCCTGTCTAGATGACTTGGGACCACATGTCCCCAGGGCGCTCATGGTCCAGCAGGACTATGCCTGATAGGCCTCTCCATCAGACTGCTGTCACCAAATTAAACAGCTCTTGCCTCTTTTTCCAGAAGGTCTTCCGGCTTTATGGACTCCAACTCCTGTTCCTGCAAGAAGACACCAAACAGGTGCATAAAGGCAGGACTCTGACCCGAGGGGACAGCAGTACATAGATGTTAAAGGACCACGGCCTGACCTTGGCCTCCTGGGAGCATTTGTGTGTGTGCTTGTCTTCTTCATGCTCCTCCTGGTCGCTGGCCTCTGAGTCGCTCTTCTCAACCTCCAGCTTTCCACTCCCACGGTCCAGCTTTCCACTCTCATGGTCCAGCTTTTCAAGGGCATCCTGGTTCTTCTCCTGCTTGTCTTCCTCTAGGGTTGCCTGACTGTAGGAGTGGAAATGAGGGTTTGGAATTGGTGTCATGGAGACAGCTTCCAGATGACACCTTTCTCCCTCTTGGGCATCGGCAGCTCTGGGAGCAGCTCCAGCCTGGACAGGGAGGCAGAGAGGGGCCTGCGTGTGCAGGGCCTGCCTCCTTCCTGAGGGCAGACGGTGGGTGGGCAGACACGTCAGACAGGAGGGGAGGGGCGATGTGCAGAGGATGAGCAGTGATGCTCAGGTTGCTCCTGTCCTCCCTCCTGCACACCCATACCTCCCCCAGCGTGAGCCTCCGCCGGCCCCGCCACCTGGGATGACGCTACTCCTTTTCTGGGGACAGGTGCCAGCTCCAGGACTCCGGGGCCACCACACAGCTGTAGTTGGAGGGCGTAGGGGAGCGGAGGGGCTTGCAGCGCTGAGAGCCACCCTGGTTCCCCCAGCCTCAGACCCTCCCATCTGAACCCCTGGGGTCCTCTCAGGACGCCCAGGGCTCCTTCAGGGCCTCCAAATCTTCATCTTGGTGCTGGCCCCACTTCCCGCCCTGTGGTGAAAACCACCCCTGCCAGACAAAGCCCACTTACCAGACGGGGTCTTCGCCGTTGCTTTTCAGGTCCTTTCCCTGATCTTCAGACTCTGAGGAGGAAGGAGCAAGTTGTCAGACACTCCCACCGTGTGGTGCAGGAGCGCTGCTGGCCCAAGGCCCACAGCTCAGCCCTGCGAGGGTGGGGCCAGCCCATGGGGTGCTGGGCTCCCTGCAGCTCCAGTGTTGGCCTGGTGACTAATGGTTATGACTAAGGCCAGCCTCAGTTTTTATCCTGACAGGTTGTCTCCCGATTCCCTGCCCCGACGACACCCACTCTGCACAAGGCCCCACCCCACACCATCTCTGCCTCTCTAGGCAGAGCTCGGGTGAAGCTAAAGCACTGTCTTTACAATAGATGTGCAGGACCCCCGGGCAGCCCTGACACCCTCCCGCACAGCACACTGACTGGGAGCAGCAGGAGTGGAGGGCAGGGGCGGGGACCCACTGGGCAAGCCTGTCCCACAGGGGGTGGCATTTGAGATACACATGGCTTGTTCAGGAACCTCCCCTCCTTGTTCCTCCTCGGCAGGGCCTGGCCAGGGGGGTTCCTGTGTCATTTTCCCAAGGAAAGTGCTGCCGAGGCCCAGCTAGTCGGGATCTTTGTCCAGTGCACTCAGTAGCCCGAGAATCTGCCTGGCATCCAGGGAGCTGTTCTTCTAGCCGCAGCCTCACGTGCGTAGCAATTGTCAGGAGATAATTAAGGTAAAGCTGCGTTTTGGTGACTTTGGCAGGATCAGAGCATGAGCGTCATGAACTGTTTTCACCAAGACAGAGACCTCTCGCTTCCAGGCTTGTCGGCCAGGAGCGCCACGGAGGAGTTATGCAGGAGGGGTTCCCTAACCCTCTTCAGGACCTGAGCGAGCCTCCGAGGGGACTCAAGGTTGCGACATTGAAAGTTCCGTTTCTGTGCAGTCCCCTCTGAGCCTGGGAGGGTTGAGGCGCTCCCTGAGTAGTGGCTCCTCCCACAAGCAGCTTGGTCCCCCCTCCCTGCCCCCCACACCAAGGGCCCAGATGCAAGCACAGCCTGGGGGCAGTTCCAAAGCTTTAAGTACTGCTGTTGATGGAAGACATAGCCAGGGCACCTCTGAGCAGATCCCATCTTGGAGAATCGCTTTACAGAATCTGGTTGTGGGATCAGCTACTCCAGGCCTTGTGCTCAGGGTTGTTTTGGTTCCCAGGCCTCGGGGCTGGGATGACTGTCCGAGAGAGGAGGTCACGGCCCAGTTCCCAGTGGGTGTCCTGCACCCTGATCCTGCTGTTCTAAGGAGTCTGATCGGCTGGTCCTTGCCTTCTCTCATCTGGTCCTCTCCTGACACCTCTCTCCTGAGCCCTGCCATCTTCCAAGGCCACCCTTCCTGGGACCTGGGTGCCCCTGCCCAGTGCTCAGCGACCCGCTGTAAAGGGAGCTTTTCATCACGGCCGGGCCTTCCTAGTGCGCAGCACAGGTGGCCTCGGGCTGTGTCACCCGGGCATTGTCTCTCACTGCTCCGAGTTCCCTGTGGATATGAACTAGGTAGTCTTCATCCTCCTCATTCTTCATGCCCGCACAGGCTCAGGGACCTGATCTGTGGCTGTGCTGCCCCCACGCAGACACTGGCCATGCCAGGGACAAACAGCCCCAAAGGCCAAGGGCAGGGATATGAACGGGGGCACAACCGGGTCCTCAGAGAATATTTTAGAATTTGGGACAGTAGTCCCACTTACACGTAGTTTCAGTTCTGAGGTCTCCTGTAGTCTGAAAATATGAAATGGAAAGTGCCAGAAATAAACAATTAATACGTTCTCATTGTGTGCCATTCTGAGTTGCGTGAGGAAACCTCTCACTGTCCTGCTCCCTCCTGCCCTGGATGTGAATCGTCCTTTGGTCCAGCGCACCCACGTGTGTATGCTGTCTGCTGGTTAGTCGCTGGGCAGCCACCCTGGTTGTCAGAGCCGCCGTGTGGTATCCCCAGGCTTGTGTTTGAGTAACTCTTATCTTATTAATAACTAGTGGCCCGATGCATGAAGATTCGTGCAAGAATGGGCCTTCCTTCCCCTGGCTGCTGGCACCGCCTTCGCTCCCACCCGGAGCCGCCTTTCTGCCTTTGCTTCAGCCTGGAGCCGCCTTTCTGCCTTTCCGCCTTTCCACACTGCCCAGAGGCCTGGAGCGGCTGGAGCAGTGCAGAACGCCTGTGTCGTCGCCATGGTGATGACGCAAGCATCCTGCCCCGCCCCCGGAGGCTCGGCGCCTGCATATGCAAATTAACCTGCCATCTTTGTTGGGTTAATTTGCATACTTGTTCCTGATTGGCTGGTGGGCGTTGCAAAGGTATGGCCAATTTGCATCTTTCTCTTTTATTAGTATAGATCAGGGGTCCTCAAACTTTTTAAACAGAGGGCCAGTTCACTGTCCCTCAGACCATTGGAGGGCCGGACTATAGTTTAAAAAAAAACTATGAACAAATTCCTATGCACACTGCACATATCTTATTTTGAAGTAAAAAAACAAAATGGGAACAAATACAATATTTGTATTTGCATGTGGCCCGCGGGCCGTAGTTTGAGGACCCATGGTATAGATGGCCCCAAAGCACACGAGAGGTGGTCCCGGCCATTCTGCTAGGCCAAAGAGAAGCTATCAAGTGCTTCCTTCCAGGGAAAAGGTGTGTACATGGAGGAGAACACAAAGCAAACCTAGTGTTCAATACTATCCATGGTTTCAGGCATCCACTGGCACGTATCCTCCGTGGACAAGGGGGACCAGGGTAGCTCTCAAGACATCCCTCAGGGAGAAAAGGAGCATGCAGCCTCCGCCTCAGGTAAGAGGGCTGCTTCACGGTCAGTGGTGTTTAAGCCGGGATTTAGAAACTGACTCCTTTTGGAAACTCTTTAGCAGCCCATGGGCCCGTGCACATGCATGTGCATGTGCTTTGTATGTGCCTGTTTTAGAAGACAAGGGGCTGCCCAGCCAATGTGGCCTGATGGTTGAGAATCAACCCATGAACCAGGAGGTCATGGCTCAATTCTCAGTCAGGGCACATGCCTAGGTTGCAGGTTTGACCCCTGTTAGGGGGCATGCTAGAGGTAGCCGCTCAATGATGTTTCTCTCTCATTGATGTTTCTAACTCTCTATCCCTCTACCTTCCTCTCTCTCTCTCCCTCTCTCTCTCTCCCTCAAAAAAAAAAAAAATCAGTAGAAGACATGGGGCTGTCCCAGACAGATCTTCAAATACTTTTTCTTCCTATTATGTATCTGGCAAAAAGAGTCATGCCCTAGACCAGTGGTTCTCAACCTGTGGGTCGCGACCCCTTTGGCGGTCGAACGACCCTTTCACAGTGGTCACCTAAATACATCCTGCATATCAGATATTTACATTATGATTCATAACAGTAGCAACATTACAGTTATGAAGTAGCAACGAAAATAATTTTATGGTTGGGTCACAACATGAGGAACTGTATTTAAAAGGCCAGAAGGTTGAGAACCACTGCCCTAGACAGTTTGGCTCAATGGATAGAGCATTGGGCTGTGGACTGAAGGGTCCCAGGTTTGATCCCAGTCAAGGGCACATGCCCAGGTTATGGGTTCGGTCCCCAGTAGGGGGTGTGCAAGAGGCTGCCAATCAATCATTCTCTTTCATCATTAATATTTCTCTCTCTCTCTGCCTCTCCCTTCCTCTCTGAAATCAATAAAAATATATATTTTTTAAAAAGAATCAATAAAGAGAGAGACACTATTTCTCTTTCCCTCATTTTAAGACCTGGACAAGGCCTGGAGCCGCCTCCCTGGCGTGTGGCTGGCGAGGCTCCCGCTCTGTACCCTCAGGCTCGGGCTCTGGGAAGCCGAGACCCCATGCAGCCTGGGACCCTGGGGCCTGGGTGGCAGGACCACAAGCCCCGCGGAAGCCTTTCGGCCACCCCTCCCTGGCCAGCGTTATTGGAGAGCCCTCTGGGTCTACTTGCAAAATTTCCCACACAGACTCAGGTTGGTCTCCTCTTTGGGGAACTTAGATCTTCTTGAGCGAGAAAGTGTGGCCATGCTCAGAGCCTGAACGGGAGGGAGGTGGAGGGTCCAGCAGCTCCTCTCTCCTCAAACCACACACCTTTGGACTCTGACACTAGAGAAGAAATATGTTCACACCCTGACCTCTTACAGTCGCCCCTAGAGCGTGAACAAGCATCTATATTTCCCTTTTACAGTTTCATTTCTTCAGCCTACTCATCAAAGGCCACCTGCTGGCGAGAGGGTCCCAGGAGAACCAGCACATGACTCTCAGTCACTGCCGTCCTCCCACCAGCTCAGATCCTGTTGCTCTGGGGAAAGTGTCATGAGGAGCCTGGGGGGCGGGAGGTGGGGGCGGGGGTGGGGGCTGGGTTAGCTAACATTCAGGATGCAGGTCCACATAAGGACCAGGGTGTTTCGGGACCCATCCCCACTTCCACCACACCATGGCCGCGCTTGGCATGTTTAGAAACATCCCGGAGTGGCTAACACAGCCAGCATAAGGTATAAACTTACAGACTTTATCATTTAAAGGCCACCTTAGTGCCAAGCCTGACAGGCAGTACCCTCCCCCACAGGGTCACAGCCGACCCCAGGCCCCGGGAGGCGCTGTGGTTCCCTGAATGAGACAGAGCTAGACTCAGATTCCAGGGTACAACCTGAGACACAGCCCGCGCCAGCCCTCCCGAGGCCATGGTCTTCTCCATGTGTCTGACAGCTTTCAGGCCCACAGGGCTCCCCAAGGCCTGGTCAGTCCTCACCCACTTCATCCAGTTGGCCACCCACCCTGGGTGCCGACATTCAAGCAGGCCTGACCAGAGCCCCAGCGGGTCATGTCGCCTGACAGCCTCAGTGTGCAGCGCCCCCACCCTGGCCCTCAGGGTGGGGGCAGGGGCAGTGGGGGCGGCCGGGCGGGAGGTGCTCTGCGCTGGCTGCGGCCCCTACCTAGCTCCTTGGACGGCTTCTGGATGCTGCTCGGGGGGTCCCCCTTCTGGTGTAAGCTGCCCATGCTCTGGCTCCTCTGCAGTTCAGCCCCCTCACTGGTCCCCTTGGGGTGTCCGGTGGCCACCCCCAAAGGAGGAGCCCCAGCGCCTGGCCGGTGCCTCCTGTACACGGTGGTGGCCTCCTTCTCCATCCTTCTCCTCCCTTCAGGTCTCAGGAAAGAAGAGGGACCCGGCTCTCCAGCACGGCCTCAGACGGAGGGCATGGCTTCCAACCTCTTCCGAGGCGAGCAGCCCAAGAGTGTGCCCAGTGGGCCCCCGTTGCTAAGTGTCCCCTGTGACATCACACAAGGTCAGAGGTCAGAGGTCATCCAGAGCAGCCCTTCCCTCGGGATGCTGGGTTCCCTCCTTCCAGGCCTTCCTGGCTTGTGCCCCAGAAAAGAAGAGGAAGAGGGGCCAGGGGACCTGAGGGGGCAGAGTGGGCACAGAACAAAGCTGGGCAACGGACGAAGAACCCAGAAGTGGGGGTGGGTCTGTGGGCATCTCAGGGCCGGGCAGAGTGTTTTCTCCGCACCCTCGCGACGAGAGGTGCCCTCGGCTTCAGAGGCAGGGCTGCCTGGGGCGGGCAGGCTGGAGCTGCACTGACCGAGAAACCCCACCTAACTCCGAATTTCAGCCCGCGTTTGCTGGCACTGGCATCAGAGCACCACGGCCCGCGTGCCTTAACCATTTCCTTCTAGACTGGAGGCCTCTCTCCGGGGCCTGCAGATGCCTGTCCCGTCCTCACAGTCGTCCCTCTGTGCACGTCTGCGTGTCTGTGTCCTGATCTCTTCTCACAAGGACCCCAGTCGCACGGGATTAGGGGCCACACTAATGACTTCACGTAACCTTAACGTCTCTTATTTATTTAATTTATTTAAAAGCCAATTTTATTTATTTTTAAATGTATTTTTTAATTGATGTCACAGAGGAAGGGAGAGGGGAGAGAGAAACATCAGTGATGAGAGGGAATCGTTGGTCGGTTGTCTCAGGCACACACCACACGAGGGATCGAGCCCACAACCCGGGCATGTGCCCTGGCCGGGAACCAGACCGTGACCTCCTGGTTCATAGGCTGACATTCAACCACTGAGCCACGCCGGCCGGGCTTTACCTCTTTAAAGACCCGACCTCCAAATACAGTCATAGGCTGAGGCACTGGGGGTCAGGGCTTCGCCACATGGTTTTTGGGGGGGACACAATCAGCCCATAACAGAGCCTAACAGAGCATTTCCGATACCCTAACTGAGCACACGGTTTTTCTGATACCCTAACCGAGCACACGGTTTTTCTTCCTCCAATTACCCAAGACCTTGGGGACAACCAGCTGATTGCCCACACGGTTTTTCTGATACCCTAACCGAGCACACGGTTTTTCTTCCTCCAATTACCCAAGACCTTGGGGACAACCAGCTGATTGCCCTTGGGGTGCCATGACTATTCAGAGTGAAGCGGAAGCGGCTCCCTAATCCCACCTGCACTCTATCGCCTCAAACAAATTGCTTGTGGCATCTTAGCTCCCGGGGAGGCCTGGGTCGCCAAGCCAAGCGCCAGTGCGGGGACAGACGTGGTGCCCACCTACCCGAGACCTTCCTCGGCGGCACCTGGCCGTGGAGGCCACCGATGAAAGTCACAGCAGTGGGCGCTGAGGGACAGCTCGTGCCTTCAGGAGAAAGAGCAGGTGGAAACAGAGCCAACTGTGACCTGCCACTGGGGTCCTGGGGGAGGGCTTTCTGTTCCCCTATCTGCCTCCCCTTCGACCCCCCGCCCCCCGCCCCGGGGTTCCCCTTTCTGCAGCATCCCCAGAAACAGCTGATTCTTCTCAGAATAGCTGACCCAGGCTGGAATTTAAAAACACACACGATTGAATGAAAGCCAAATGGAGAAAAGAAAGGAATCAGGAAATGAGAATGTGCATTCTTCTCCCCAGAGGGGGGTGGCATCCTAGAGACCCCCTCAGCTCCTCCCTCTCCCCCTCCAGGAGGGACACCAGCTCTGCTCCTGGCACCAGAGGCCTGGAACCTCCTGCTCCTCCTCTCCTGGGAGGCGGGAGGCAGGCGGCTGGTCCTCGAGCTGGCAGCAGTGTGTTCTCAGACAGTAACTCCTAGCAGAACACCTTCCAATGGCCCTCAGAGTGCCAACCCCACCCCTTTCCATCCCAGAGCATCATGGCTTCCAGCTCCATCATGGCTTCCAGCTCCATCTGAAGCCCCACCCGGAACCTCACCTGTGATCACAGGGGCATCTTCCATTTCCCCACCTGCCCAGCTCCATACCCCCACCTCCCACCTGTGCAGTTATCCGTGGGCACCCCTGGGAAACCAAGCCAGTCCTCAGAAAGAATAAAAGGTCTGTTTTAATCGGAAGGTAAAATACTTCACAAATCATTAGTATCTTATAAACGGAAACATTCAGTTACAAATCCATGTTAAAAATCGCAATTCGGTGCAGCCTAATAGCTCTGTGTTCCAACGTTTATTTTTTGCAAGATTGTTCTCCCCCTTTTTTGTGACAAGTGATGTTATTATCTGGCATCTAGATGGAGTCTGAAGGACAGAACTTGCAAACAGAACGGAGTTGGCACGAGGGCACGTGGTCCTGTGAGTTTGAACAGTGCTGTCCAAAGCCGGCGCCTGCAGCTGTGAGGACCGACTGGGGAAAATCAGCCAACAGCTCCCCTGGCGTTCGAACCCCACCCTCGCCAACGGAACGCAGCCCCCACCGCTGCTTCCACGGGCTTCTCAGAAACACCGTGCAATACCAACCCCGGGGCCCAAGGGGCGTCTGCACAGCCGAGTGCCTCCCCTTTCAAGTTGAGGATTTCTCCCCTTGTGGGTTTCCTGTGGAGGACCTGTAACTGGCTCCCCTTCCCTTTTTTGCCTGCTCTGGCACCCTCCCCTTCAATGAGTCCAGGTGTGGATGATCCGAGTTATTTCATATCAAAGAGCTAATTAAAAACGTTAAGAAAATCAGTTTGAAAATAACGCACATTTCTATTTTTAAAATATTCCCCAAACTTCTACTTTTAAGCCCCACTGACAGCACAACAACACAACTGGTGCTTGAAGTGGGGCCTGGCGGACACCAGCTCCGCCTCTCAGCGGCCCAGGGGCGTTGCGGGCTGGGGGCTGTCTCAGCAGACAGCAGAGAGGGACTCTGATCCCCAGGAGAGAAGCCTGGAGCCCCTCCCCCCGGGAACTCTCTGCAGAAGAACCCTGTATCCCCAAAATATCAAGAGCATCCTCAAACTGGGACCTCCGTGCAGTTCTGCACATCCCGACCACATAACTGACCCTCTAGGCGGGAACATCATCAACATCGAAAGCTGAAACCAGGAGACGCCTGCCCACCAGGAGCCGCCTGCCCGCTCCTGGGAAAAGAATAATGCTTGAACCTCCGGCTGCGCGGAGGCAGGCTCCTGGCAGGCACCGCAGAGGCCAGCGAGGCAGCAGTGCACAGGAGACGGAAGCACTCCAGGAGGGCGCACGCATCCCACACCCGGTCCAGAAAGGCCAGCTCGGGGCACCTGCCCAGCAGCGTGAATAAAGTGCGTGGCAGCCACGGGAACAGCCCAGGAGAGTCTCAGACGTTCAGTGAGCTTGACGCTTGTCATCTATGCGAGCGAGGAATGTGGATCCCTTGGCTTCCTCACTCTGCCTTCTTGTCGGTCTCCCTCCTGCGCAAAGACTGTGAGGTTCCTGGTGCAGCTCACAGCGCCCTCCTGGGGCAGGACGTCCTCCAGGCTTTAAATGGAATGGGTGGAGACCTCTGACTGCTGCCTGATGTAGCTCTGAAAACTCTTATCTCCGATGGGGTGTTCCCTGCAAAGGGGAGATGGGGAGAGGAGAACGTGAGGTACAGCCCTCCATCGCCCGTGCTCATCTGCACTTTTTAAGAGTCTCTTTTCTAGCCCTGGCCGGTTTGGCTCAATGGATAGAGCGTCGGCCTGCAGACTGAAGGGTCCTGGGTTCGATTCCGGTCTAGAGCAGATACCTCGGTTGCAGGCTCCTCCCTGTCCTGGGCTCTGGTCGGGGCACGTGCAGGAGGCAACCAATTGATGTATTTCTCTCCCATATTTCTTTCTGTCCTTCCCTCTCTCTTCCAACTCTCTCTGAAAATCAATGGAAAAATACCCTCGGGTGAGGATTAAAAAAAATAAGAGACTTTTTTTCTATCTATATATGTGATGTGTATTCTTTGTAATTAATATGAAAACTATAGACAAGCAAAAGAAGACTTAGCCCAAAGCCGCCTGTGGAGGCACCCACTGTGACCCTAGTCACAGTGTGTAGGTCTCATGCGCACACATGACCGTGTGCATAGAGCGTGTGCCATGCACCCACACGTGTGTGGGAACCCTGTGCTCCACAGGGGCACGGTGCTGTCTGCTGAACGCCTGGCCCCAGGGTCGCAGGCGCTCGGTCCTGAGCTGCCCAAGCGCTTGCACAGCTGCTGCCACAGAAGTAGGATGCGCTCCAGGCTGTTTTAACCTCGGCTTTACCACGTGTAATCAAAGACATTTTTAGGTCTACGCAGCTCTCTCTGACAGCAGGGTGTAAAGAGAATCTGGAATACGCTTTGAATGTCTATGGCAGGGGTCCTCAAACTTTTTAAACAGGGGGCCAGTTCACTGTCCCTCAGACCGTTGGAGGGCCGGACTATAGTTTAAAAAAAAACTATCAACAAATTCCTATGCACACTGCACATATCTTATTTTGAAGTAAAAAAACAAAACGGGAACAAATACAATATTCGTATTTGCATGTGGCCCGCGGGCCGTAGTTTGAGGACCCCTGGTCTATGGAGCCGGGATGACTCATCTAGGAGCAAAGAACAATCAGCGACCCTGGGAGGTGCTCGCTGGGCGCTGGGTGCTGGGCTCTTGGGAGCAACTGGTCAAAGGAGGCACCTCTTGCAGAGCCCTTCACTCCCCTTCCCAGAGCAAACCCACACCTGCCAGGAAGGGAGGGAGGAAGGGAGGGAAGGAGAGAGGGGGGAGGGAGGGGGCTGGAGGAAGAAAGGGAGGGACAAGACAAAGATGGGGGCCAGTCCACCAGAGCTGGCCTCAAGAGAGGGGGAAAGGGCTGGTTTGCTGGCCCAGGAAAGCCTAATTCTGAAAGTGAATGAGTTGGGAAGGCAGGAGGGGAGAAGGGAGAGTGCTGCTCCCAGGACACTGCCCAGAGGGCCCGGAGAGTGAGGCGAGGCCTGCTCTGAAGGAGCTGGGAAGCCTGCGCAGTCCGCACGCTGCACACAGGTGGCTCTGGGGCAGGCAGCACCCTCCTCCCCCCGGGAGCTCCCTGCAGTCTCTCTCCCAGGCCCCCACACCCTTGCCGGGACTTCCCACGCACCCGGGCGCCATACTCACTGGCTCCCATACTTGGTCTTCTTGAACTTGTCCCTTTTGTACTGGGCGTGCTCCTGCTCCAGGGCCCCGACCCTGGCGATGACCTGCTTCAGTGTCTTGTAGGTCTCCTGGGGGTCATCGATGATGAAGGTCAAGTACTCCTCTTGCTCTGGGCCGTCATACACAGATCTGCTCCCACAGGCTTCTGCACCGTTGGGGACAGGGCGGAGGTCAGTGCTCGGGGAAGCATCTGGACTCCTCAGTAAGGCTGACCATTCACAGGCAAAGGCCCCAGAAACAGCAGCTGTTCCTAACAGCCTGGCCAACGCTGAGTGCTGGGGGACCCTGCAGGGCCAGAAAGCCAGGGCCCAGGGACCGAGGCCTCTGAGGGTCCAATGCCCCCTTGCCAGGCCCCAGCCCTTCTCTGACAGCCCTGCCCCTGGGTGACCTGCGTCATCCAGGCCCCACTGGCTCATCACGCCGGGAACAGCAGACATCTGTCTGCTCCTGGGCACTGGGCCAGGCTGGCTCTAGGGCCTGTGGGGTCGGACATGGTCAGGCTGGGGAGGTGAGCTCGAGGACGTCCCCTCTCGGCCAGTCTGTGCAGGCAGTTTCCTCAGACTCCACCCCGCCCCCCCCCCCACCTGCTCAGCAGGTAGCTCTCTCCTTGGACACCTCACTCCCGCTGAAGTGATCCACAGGAGGCATCCAGATACCTGAACTGCAGCAGCCCCCTCCTGGCCCCTAGCACCCGGCCCCGGCCCCTCCCATCTGCCCGACAGCTATGCTGGGCCCTGCGCTCCAGGGCCACAGAGAGACCAGGTGGGAAGCCGTGTGCTTTGCAGGGCGCCTGGCCCGGCGAGCCAGCGTCAGGAGGGCCCTCGCCTCATCGTCCTCTGTCCATTATCTCAGAAAGCTCTGCGATCCTGCTTCTGCTCAGGGGAAACCTCTGGGTTCTAATCGAAAAGTCACAAGTCTGCACAAAGGAAGATGGAAAATTTCAGAGAAAAAGGGGGTGTGACAGGAGAAAGACAAGGGGCCCTCAACGTGAGGGACAACAGAGTGGAGAAGAGGAGCCCAGGCCCCCGAGCTCGAGTGTGAGCTCAGCTTCTTCCTCGTGAGTGAAGCGCAGGTCGGTCTGCAGCCACACTGCCTGCGTGTCCTCCCCCACCCCCAGCCACTGCTTGTAACTGCGTGGCTCTGGGCAAGTTACTTAAGCGCCAGAGCCTCAGTTAACCGGTGCCCCCCGAGTCTCCTGAGCCCGGGCCCAGTGGGAGTGGGAGCTGTGGCGGCTCGTAAGGACAGAGGGAGGGATAGATGCAAAGGACCGTCACTGCCACATGGACAGGTCAAGAGAGCTAAGACCTGAGTAAGCAAACGTCTGTGAAGCTTGTTAAAGAAGCAGAAACAGAAGGTGGTCCTCATTGCCAGGACAGGTGTCTGGGCTCGGATGCGGAGGAGAGTCACCAAAGGCCAGCAGGACGGACGATGGTGACGGGAGAAGCACACAGGCACCCGGGCCCAGCCCTCCTCAGCTCCGGGTGCTGTGCTCACTGCTTCACGGAGTTTGTTCCCCTCAGTCCTCGAATTAAGCCAACGGGCTGGTGGCAGTGCTGCCCATTTCGCAGGAGAGGAAGTCAGGGCTTGCCCGGTGAGCGATTTGCCTGGTGAGTGACTTGGCCAGTGTGTCTCAGAGCAGAAGCCAAAGCTGGCTCTGCATTGAGGCCTCTAAGTCCTGGAAGAACTCCATCCCGGGCACCACGGAGCGTGGTCTGTGCGGGGAGCGCTGGGAGGAACCTGGGAGAGGCCCAGGCCCTGAGGACATCCAGCACTAAGGGGGGTTGAGGGGCTTAACTGCCGAGACCACAAAGAAAGAGGAGCCGTAAGCCACACACCTATCAGATGCAAAATTCTTGAATGGATTAGTAAATAGATTATGAGCTAAGCTCAGGAAGGAGAAAATAAAACCAACATCAACTAGAACGGATCATGATAAGCACACTACTTCCTCTTTAAAAGGGTTTATAAAACCCAGACTTAGGGAAATGCCCAGAGTGTGTGCATGTTGGTTTCAGCAAGGCCACTGACACGCTTTCACACGGTAGCCGGGAACAGGACACAGCGCCAGACGACGGGACAGGCGCTGACCACCCACGGTCCCAGGCACTAACCTGTCTCCCAAGCAGATGCCTAACCTGCAGAAGGTGCCACCGACAGCACCAGACGCAGGCCAGGGAAGCTCAGAGGGGCTCGCAGGCATGTCTGGGAGAGATTGTGGGTTCGGCTCCAGACCACCATAAAGTGGATATTGTAATAAAGTCACGCTAATAGTTTGGTTTCCCGGTGCATACAAAGGTCATTTCACTACACTGTGGTCTACTATGTGTGCAACAGCATATGTTTAGAAAAATCAATGTGCAAACCTTAACATTATTTTATGACTAAAACATGTGAACTGTCACGTGTGCCTTCAGCGAGTGGTGATCTTTCTGCTGGTGGAGGGCCTTCCCTGATGTGGATGAAAACACAGCCCCTGGGAATCATAATACAGCGAACACAAGACGAGGTCTGCCTGCACTTCCCCGAGTCGCTGCAGAGCGTCCCACGTGTCGCCTGGGCCAGGCGTCCCCCGCGTGAGAGGCTGACCCGTCCTCACCTTGCATCTTCTCCAGTTTGCTCATGTACAGGTTGAACAGGGAGTAGATGCGCTCCGTCTCTCGGTCCCCGTCGATGTCCAGCTGGATGTTTGCTGGGAGGCCGCTGCTCGAGCACAGTGAGAACGGAGAGCACAGAGCTGTTAATCATGGCATTGACTTTTTAAAAGACCACTGAAGACGACAGAGCGATCCAACACTGGACTCATCCCCGACGGGCATTTGTGTGTGGTGTGTGAAATAATTCACCAGCACTGAGCAGTGACCATCTGCCAGGACAGCAAGCAAACAAGGCAGACTTACTTTGCTATGAAAGGGCCCAGAATAAAAATATGCACTTGGGCCGTGTGCCCTGAAGGGTCGGTTGGCTGCCCCAGGAAGGGACAAGCGGGTCCCCTCTCCTTCCCGAGGCCCCGGTGGGCTGCTGCTCCTGCCTGAGGGCACAGCAGCGGCCCCTCCCAGACACAGCACCCAGCCTCTCTGGGGAGACAGGCGAGGATTGGGGCACAGACTCCTGGACAGCAGGGACTTAGCCCTTATCCTGAGTCTTAGCTTCTTTGCCTGTGAAGCTGCATGTCCTGTTTCCGCCTCTGAGAGCTTTGGGGGGCTGCGTCACAACCACAACAAACAGCAGTTGTCACTTTTCTCACAAGTCACATGGGGCACAGGGACAGGCCAACTGTGAGTCACCAGGCCTCCCTCCAGGATGGCAGAGAGGAGCCTCTCAAGACCGTCAGGGGGCCCAGCTAATGGAGGGGCTGGAAACTGTCTTGGTTCCCAAAGGTGGGGAGTGTCGACTGGAGAAATCGAAGGGGGTGCATCAGGAGGGCAGAGCGCTTGCAGGGTCTTAGAAGAAACAGGCAGAAAAGCCTGCCCCTGGGGGTCCCCTCTCTGCCTGGAGCCCCCTCCTCATTGCCACCCGCTCTGCAAGGATGGCACGCACCCCCGGCAGGGGCAGGAGAACCCAGGCAGGCCCGGAGCTCCTGCCAGGCTACACAGTCTGCAAGGGCTCCCTGGGTGGAGGCTCAGCCTCAGTGTGCAGTTGGCTGAGTGGGTGGGGACTGCATCTTAGCCCCAACTTGACCCCTTGACGAAACTTCCCTGAAGGGTGCACAAACTGGGTAACTGTGCTCGGCTACCCCGGGCGGCTGGGGGCTGGAAACCCGCAGACCTACCCGGTGCACGGGGAGCAGCCGGGGGCCGTGTCGGAGGAGGCCCTGCAGCACAGCCAGTGGCCGTTGAGGTAGGCGGAGGGGTGGTAGACGGTGAGGCGCTTCTGGTTGCACTGGCTCACTTTGGTGAGGATGTCGATCCAGGCCTTGGCCTCCACGCAGTTGTTGGCCTGGATGTACAGCGCCCGCTCCGGCTGGATGACCTGGAACATCTGGGGAGATGGAGAGTGGGCTTGGGGGCCGCCCAGCAAGGACCACGGGTCATGATCGTCAATGCCTACACACCCAGGGGCTGCAGCGAGAGGGTCTGAAACTGACCCAGAGGCAGACAAGTCCAGTGGCTGCCGTGGGTGCAAAGGGCTTTCTGCTGCCCTTGAACTTGAAAACAGAGCTGAAGCCGCTGCCCTGGGGGAGGCAGGCGTGACAGGAGCCATGGTCAGCCTGGCCAAGGCACTTCCTTCCTGGGCGTCAGGGGTCTCCATTCGAAAGGCAGGAGCAGCACCACTTGTCTCGCCCATGGGGCCTCCTAAAGCTGACTGGGGCCTTAACAAGGCACATTCCCTGCAAGGCACATCAGAGCTCATGCTGCCCACCCTCCCGTTCTCCTCCCAGCTCTGCCTCCATCTGAAAGGCCTGGGGACTCTTCTTCCTCATTCAGGCAGGTATTGCCTCCTCAGAGCCACCACTCCTTTCCTATTTATTATTCACTCAACAAACTGCCCTCGGTCCTGGGGACATAGTGAGAGCAGAGAGTTTCTGCCATGAGCTTCCAGCCGGCAGGAGAAAATGAACACAAGATGCAGGGGCTGAGTGCGGGCAGCCCAGCGGGAGGTCAGTGTAAATGCTCAGAAAAACCTCCAGAGAGCAGCAGGTTAAGGGTTAAACTTAGTGGGGGAGGCAGGGATGGACAGTGTCCCGGGCAGCAGGGACAGCAGGGCACAGGTCCTGGGGCAGCAGAGACAATAGGCACAAGGTTCTGAGCATCAGGCAGGGCCGGAGCTCCCGCAGGAGCAGGCCAGCTGCACACAGAAGGGGGTTACGGGGGAGGTGGGCAGGCTGAGCCCTGGTAGGCTGTCACACGGGACTTGTCAGAGGGCGTGAGGGGAGGCCAGGAGTCAGGGTGCCACAGAAGGGTGACAGTGGCCTCTCCCAAGGGCTGGTGGTGAGCACCGGGAGGAGGAAGGAGCAGGAGCCGGTGGATCTGGGGGAGGGAGTTGTGAGTCCACGTTCCTGAGTGACTAGTCGGGGCTCTTTGCCAGAGACCAAGTCCCCCATCCTGCCTGGCACACACGCACCACTGCCCAGGCCTCAGACGTGCGCATCTGTGCACGGCTCCAGTCCCCAGTGGAAGGACGGCCGCCAGAAGGAGGTGTTTTGTCCTAACTGTCCTCACGGACTGGCCCCTGCAACAGGGCTCGGAACACAGCAAACCTTCAAAAAATCTCTCAGATGGAACAGGACGTGAGCCTAGTAGGTAGCGCCCTGGGAAGCTGGCTGTGAGGAAGGCAAGAGGAAAAAGCAGGCTGATGAATAAACAATGCTAAAATTAGGGAATTATTCTAAACCTAAATTCAGGGCCTGACGAACCAAACAGCTCCCAGCTGCTTCCAGGACGTTTCCACACTCGTGTCCTTGGTGGATGTCTGGGAATGCCTCTGGCGGAGGGCGGGCATTGCCAGCCCCCATCTCGGAGAGGGCGAGGCCCAGACACGCTCCAGGGAGCTGCCTGCAGAGGAGGCGGGCCTTCCAGCTCCCGGAGCAGGTGCGATAGTGTGAACATCCCCAGGTCCAGGGAAGAACCCACGTCTGCCACGGGCCATCTGCTCGCCCAATAAGTGGCCTCAAATAGTCCTCGGGAAGGACCAGGAACAGGGCAGGCCCTGACAGGTGTGGTTGGAACATTGGCCCGAACACTGAGAGGTCATGGGTTCGATTCCCAGTCAGCGTACATACCCAGGTTTCGGGTTCGATCCCTGGTCGGGGCGCATCGGGAGGCAACCTATCTATGTTTCTTTTTCACATCGATGTTTCTCTCTCCCCCTCTCCCTTCTTCTCTAAAATCAATAAAAACATACCCTCCGGTGAGGATTTAAAAAAAAAATAAAGAAAAGAAAACAGAGCAGGGAGCAGGAGCTGCTGTCTGAGCATCCAGAGCATGCAGGGTGGAGCCACCCCTTCATCTGTGCAGCGGGCTGGGAGCCGATCTCCGACCCAGCAGAAGTGTAAGCACCGTGTGACTACTCAGCCCTGGCCCAGCAAAACAGACTCCCATGTCCCCCACAGACCCAGTGCGGCCTTAGGCACCTACTGAATACCCGAGCGTTGAGTTGTGCCAATGAGCGAGGCGGGCAGACACAGGAGAGGGAGGAGGACGGGTCAGCTCCCTGGCAGCTCCGGGAGCAGAGCCTGGCCTGAGGTCCCGTGCTGTGCGCCATGAGCTGGCCTCTGTCGCAGAGCCGGCTGAGCGAGGAAATGCCGCTGGATGCAGAGGCAGCGAGCAATGGGCCGGGATGCTGTGCAAGCAGGTCCTCCTCCCGGGGCAACGGGACCCCAGCCCCTGAATAAAATGGGGCCCTGGGAGTCCTTACAGTCCCAACTAATGAGTGCCAGCCTCCCTGGGGGAGAAGGAAGAGCCGTGCACAGTCGAGAGCCAATGAGGAGCAGCGAGGGAATGACAGAGAGTCTTCGCGGAGGGGAGGACTTGAGGAGAAGCAGGACACTGACAGCCAGTGTGTCTCCCACGGCCACTCACTCACTATGAGCCGGGCCCCCTGAGAGGACGCACCAGCGACCAGGGCCTCCGGGGTTCCTGACGGAACCCGTGACCCAACCATGCCCAGCGACCACCTGACACACCCACACCGAGGGATGTCCACAAAAACTGGCCTGCATGCCTCAAAAATGCCACAGCCACGAAACAGGGGTAAGGACCGAGGAATGTTCCAGATTAAGGAGACGCCAGAGAAACAACAGACCATGTGGCTCTGGACTGCGTGCCAGCCTGGGGGCTGGGGGGGGGGGGGGGAGGCGTGGAACAACAGCTATAAAGAACGTTACTGGGACAACTGGCGGAATTTAAATACGGACTGTGGGCTAGTGGTGCTAGTGCATCAGCTTGGGCGTCCTGGCTTGGCTACTGTATGAGATTATATGAATGTCCTTGTGTTTAGGAAATACACGGAAATGTTTACATGGTGCAGGAAAAAAATATGTACATCCTCCATGGAGAGGAGGAGGGCGAATGAAGGAATAGGCTCAGCAAATGGGACAAAACCAGTGACTCTGGGTTAGGGGACATGGAAGTCCGTGTTCTAGTCTTACTTTTCTGGAAGTTCAAACTAGATTTAAAAAAAAACATTTCAAAGAAATTCCACACGGTCCCAGAGCCTGCCCCTGGCGTCCTTTAACAGAAGGTCCCTGGACCCCCGGGGACACCAGGGAGGCCACCGTCCCACGGGTCCTCCTGCCCCAGCCGACAGGCAGGGCCAGCCAGGCTGCTGGGCTCCCAGGTCCGACGCAAAGCCACACAGCGCCTTGTAGACACCCAGGCAGGGCCCCGAGAGGAGAGGCAGGGGCGGCGGGCGTGAGTGGGAGAGGAGAGCGATGCCCGGAAGAGCGCCTGCAAGGGCTGCACTCACGTTCTTCATCTTGAAGGACTCCTCCTCCAGTTTCTCCACGGCCAGAATGTTCTCGATGGGAATGCTGTAGAGGGGCTGGTCTCCTGCGGCGAGAGGGGTTAATGAGTGCAGGCCCAGGGGTCGTGCTGGGTTAGGTCTCCCCTCTTTAGGTGAGAAGGCTAAGAAACTGACGGGCCACAGGCACAGGGGGCCGAGGGGCAGTGGTCAGAGGAGGCCTGGAAATGGAAATGGGACCTCTGTGTCCACAGAACAACAGAGCCTCAGCTCCCAGCAGCACCCCACGTTCCCACGTTTTTATGGGGAGAGACTACTTTGTCACCATTCCCTGACCTAAACCGGAGCAATTTCAGATCCAGGAGAACACAGCCCTGATTCCTACACCTGGCGGCATGGCGCCCGCCTGCGCCCCTCCCGCTCCCCCCCGGGCCGCCCCCGTGGATGTCGCTCCTGCTCTCCTGTTTACAGAAACTGCTCACGTTGGGGAACACACCTTCTCTGCTTTCAGTTTCACTCCAGAAAAGCAGAGGGTAACCCCAACTGGGACTTAGACAAGGCCCTGGTCCCTCGGAATAAAGGTATGTGAAAAGAAGGGACAAGCGAATTTTTCTTGTTACCTTTGCTTTTCTGGTAGGTAAATTCATGATTTGTCAAGCGGAACCACCTTTTCTTAAAGTTCTTCATCCCAAAGCGCTTTCGTCCTTGCGCCCTCTTAATCATAAACCTGTTGTGAACAGGACACGTGGGTGGGGGGATGCCCCTGGGCTCGGGGTCAGGTTCCACGTCACCCTCCCCGTCCTGCAGCCCAAAGTCACGTCTGCAACATCAAAATAACTCATCGCTTAGTATCTGTGATACCCAATGCAGACTGGATTTTCAATATCTTCTAAAGCAGCGGTTCTCAACCTTCCTAATGCCGCGACCCTTTAATACAGTTCCTCATGATGTGGTGACCCTCAATTTCACTGTTACAAATTGAACATAATTAAAGCATAGTGATTAATCACAAAAATAATACGTAATTATATATGTGTTTTCCGATGGTCTTAGGCGACCCCTGTGAAAGAATCTAAACGTATTTCCAAGAGATAGATTTAAAAAATCAAAAGGCCAATGTCTCTACTTTAGAGAAGTTTAGCCCCCCCTTCTGGTGATAACTGTAAATTACAAGTTGGTGAGGGCTTAGCCCTCCAGCAAAGCAGCTACCCCTCCCGACCTCCCACACTGAAATACTGGCAAGATGCTTCCAGAGAGCACGCCTGGCAGCAGCCTCAGAGGCACGAAAGTGTGCTCTGGGGAGCAAAGCTGTGGGGTTGGGGGGGCACCTGCTTAGGTGCGATGCTTTAGTCTCCCCACAGGAGGACACTTCAGGAATGAGGGGCTTGGGAGGGGAAGGTAAGGCCTGGAACTCAGGTTGAGTGCATGAGCCAACTGTGCATGAACCCCCAACTAGTCAGCGGTCATTCGGGCTCTCATTCCCCTTTCCTCCCAGGACGGGCATTTCTCCACTGCAAATTCAGCAGAGAACAGGCACCGAGAAATGAGAGTAACCACCACCACGTTTAGACCTGCCCTGGGCTGGGGAGTTTAAATGTGGCCCCAAAGGGTCTGTGCTGCCTCTGACCGGGGAGACCCCCAGCCCCGGGGCAGATCTGCCCCACTTCCCGGCCGAGACAGACTGGGAGCGCCCGCCGCCTGCAGTTCTCTCGCTGCCGTGCTCCGCCAGCCTTACCCTTCCTTGAGCAGGATGGGCTGCTCCACGCTCTTGGGGTCCCTTCTCCCAGAGGAGGAGATCAGATCTAAGAACTGAAGTGGGAAAGAAACCGGATCATTAACAGGGGAAATGGCGTGCCTGACCACACTCATTCTTACATATAAATAATGTCACGGATGCTGTGTCCCCTTCTGACACCAGGAGAGAGAGAACCTGAGGGGCAGGTGCCAGAGCAGTGGGCCCTTCTTGGAGATCATGGGGACACCGTGCTGGTCTCCACTGTGGCTAAGAAGCTTTCAGCCCCCACCTGGACTTCCTGCTGGCTCCTCCCGGGCAGGTCTCACTGGACTTCAGGTAACACCTGGAGGTCTACCTGCCTTTCCACAGGTGACCGGGGCATGCATCTCTCCTGGAGTTTGAAGCACTGCAGGCTCCCCTCCCTGGCCATCTTCATCCCCTTGTGGTCTTGCTCGGGCTGGGGCTCCCTGATCAATTCAACTGTCCCCCGGCCTGTCTGGATTCCTTCCATCAACTGGCGGCTGCCCCCAGCTCCTCTCCTTCCTCCCCTTCTAGGTTATGGCTTTTATGATTTCTGAGCAGTAAATACGTATAACTGCTTCAGATCTGGGACAGTTTCCCCCAAGCACGCTGTCCTTAACTCTGGGCCTGGGGTCCCGGGGCTCTGTGATTCGCCGGCACCGGGGGCAGGTGGCTGGGGCCGGGCAGGGCAAGGGCGTTTGTGGAACAAAAGGAGGAAAGAGTCTATGAAGGTATAATGCTCAGTCACGTAGAGAGAGAATTTAGACGTAAAATTCTATGATGAGGGCCCCCCCACATCAGATTCCAAAGAAGAGTGGTGGGTGTAGGAGTCGTTCACAGCAGCCCTGGGGTGAGCATGGGCACACGATACCGCGAATGGACCAGTCTGAAACGTTTCAAATGGCGAACGGTCGCTTTTATGTTACTCAAATTTAAAATCAGTATTTTTAAAAAGCAACTCTGTTTCTTAGAAACAACATAAAATCAGGGTGGGGTAAGTCTATGTTCGTTGATGTTGGTACTCACATTTTTTACAGCATCAGCATATTTCTGCTCATTGAAGAATTCGTAAAATGCAGCCATGTAGGATTCCTTAAAGCTGGCCTAAAATGAAGCAGGTCACTTAACAAAGGCCTACAGGTCTCCTGGCTCATGGCCCAACTCTGAAGACTCTAGTGGCACAGGCTGCAGCAAGCCTGTTATGGTAACTAAACGGAGGGAAGATGCTAGGACCCCTGGGGTCGGGAGGGAGGGGAGGTAGGTACTGCTCTAGAAGTTTAGCCCAGGTACTTAAATCAGACCTGAAATCACAGAAGCACGCTAAAACGTTCACAAGAGACGAATTCCACTTAAGTGGCGTTTTAAGAGCTAACTGTATGGCTCAACCCCCTTCGACGTGTGTTCACTGACATCAGGGTTCCAGGTCTATGAAGTTTATGCTGTACCCAGGCATGGTCGCTGGGATGGAGCCTCACCTGTGACCGAGGGGCACGGACAGGCATCAGGGCAAAGCCCAGTAACTCAGAAGGGCCTGTAAACGACCATCCCGTGCCCAGCCCAGTTAGCACTGCTTTCATAGGGAGGTCACTCTGCTCTTTCTGGGTGTGAACATGAGGTGGATTTTGCGCAGACCCTGACCGGCAGGCGCCTGTTTATCTGAACTTCCAGCCAACGGAAACTGGGGTTGGTGATGGAGGGAAGCGATCGGCGCACCTTTTGCTTCACTCTGATTCAGAGAGAGCCAAGCATTGGCCCCAAAGCTGCGCTGAGGAGACTCGGTCTCCGAACCCATACACAGGAGTGCGCCTGCCGCCGTCCCGCAGGTGACAGTAACGTACCACCTGCCACCCTGATTTCCCCTCAGAAAGCCACGTTTCACAGCCCGCAGTGCAGAGGCGCTTGGCTAGGGCTGGAATTCCACCTCCTAAGCTGGTGCGGGAGGACGCCTGGCAGGTTCTATTGTTCTTTATCCTTATAAATGCATTAAACACACTCTCTTTTGTTAAAAAGAAGATGATTAAAAGACATCACTTACAGACTTTGACTTGGATAAGCTGCCAAGAGTCTGAATAGTCTTTGAGATAAGCGTCAGCGTCCTAGACGTCTGTGGGTCCTGCCAGACGGGAGAGAGAAATGCGAGTTTCGCTTCGGTTTTACAGAAATGCTTGTGGTTGAGCCCAGCAGTGCACAGCCAGCAAAATGAGTGGCATCCCTATAAGCTGCATGTTGTCTGTGAGTGAACCGTAAACACACAAACACTGGATTCGGAGAAGTTCACCTGGACCCTTCTACTCTGCGTGGTCTGGGAGTTGCTAGAAATGCAGGCTCTCCAGACCCAGACCCCGGCACTTCCACAAAGCACGGATGGCTCCCCAGTGGCCACGTGTGAAAAGAGCTGCTGGATATCACTTAGTCAGGAGCATCTTGAACGTAGCGGCATCCCTGTCCCGTAACCATGCCCAGTTCTGTGACTCCCAGGTCACCTCTCTTACCTTCACATGGTTGTAAGTTTAATTTAGAACCAACAGAACCAGGAATGGGCCCGTCACCCTGGACTTTCCACCAAACACTGCCCACACCTGGCACTTCCTTTGCTGATGCATCACTGACATCAGCTCCGGGAAAGCCCAGAGCCTGGCACATACGGGTGCTCAATTATCATCTGGTGCTTGACTGAATAAATGACTGCATATACACAAGATGATAAATACTCAATTTTTCCCATGGGGAGAGGAGAACATAACAGCAGTCAGCAGTTAAAACCTGGTCACAGCGTCCATGTTTGAACTGACACAGCCTAGGAAAGCCGCTAAAGTCCTTGTAGATGAAGGAGGCAAGTGCGTGTGTCATGTTCACAACCCCACCGCCATGGAACCGTTGTTTCTCCACCTCCATAGGCCTGGCAATGAGTCTGGCTTGGGCCACCGTCACCTGCTGGTACAGGAGGGCTGGGTCCCAGCTTGCAGGGCTGGTGCTCACTTACCGTGTGGTGAGGCGTGAGCTGGAAGAGGTTGGGGGACAGGATGGCAGGCGCGAAGAACCTCAGGAAAATGAAGCTGCTCACCGCCGTGTACCTCACGTCCAGGTCATCTGCAGCCAGGGCACAGAGAGCCAACTCAACGGGCTTCCTACAGATCACAGCAGTGGACCGGGGCGAGGGGCTGCACCCCAGGGCCCCTGCTCCACCCAGGGCCCCCCGAGGCAGAGGTGCTGGCCTGCGGCTCTCCTGGACCCACTGCCTCTCTCCTTCCCTGTCTCTCTCCCTCTCTCTCTCTCCCCCTCTCTCTCCCCCTCACTGTTATTAATAACACCGTCTGGCAGTTGGGCTGTAACAGACAGGACCCGCTCACCAGGCCCTAGTGGCCTTACAGGGAGACGGCTCATTATTGGGCGGGTCACTCACATCGGGGATGGGAGGATATGGTCTGTTCATTATTTACTTCCTTCCATCTTGTCCCAAAGAGGATCAGAGGCTTGGTGTGCTTGGTAACTGCCGGTCCCAGACACGGGGTTCCTTTTTGGCCCTAGAAGGAGCCCGAGCTCTGAGAGCAGGAGGTCCTGGCCGGGCTCGGCTATGGAAGCTGAGCTGCCCCAGCAGGTGGAGGGAAGGGGCTGGGTTCACCTGGGGACCTTCTATCTGGGCACAGGGACTGCTCTGCATGGAGGCTGAGGTTTCAGCGGTTCCCAAGGCAGCAGGTCACGTCTGGGCTGATTCATGGGCTCCCAGGGATGGAGGAAGCGAGTTAGGGATGTGCTCACTGGACCAGGCAGGGGCCAGGTACCAAGTGGTCTGAGCTGGTGAGTGCCCTGTACCCAGGTCCTTGGTTAACATGACCCCTCCCACAGGGCTGGATGCCATGGCAGCTCTGGGCGCCTCCCCAAGAAATGAGCATAAAGAGGGGGCTCATCCCTGGAACCCTTCCAGTCCCAATTCATCCTGTCTTTCTTAGAAATATAGCCAGGCAGAGTTAGGTGACACAGAGCACCAAGTGGCGACATGGTGGACTGAAGTAGGAAACTGCCAGAGGACCCGGACCAGACCCAGGCAAGTAGACACTGTTCCACTGGACGAAACTCGGCCTACTGCCTGGTGTGGGGCCGCAGCCCTAGCTCACCCAGCGATAGGCGCAGATGGGGACTAGGGCGCTCTGCCCGCAGACATGCACGCAAAGGGATGCATGCTGACACCTGAGCTCTGGCCTCTTTATGGGGCTCTGAGACGCCCCTTCTGTGCTTTGAGGCGTCTGGCGCAGGGGAAGGGAGCCACCTAGGGAGGGTCTGTAGGTGTTTCCTGCTGGCTGAGCGTATCCAGAGCACTCACCCTGGAAGCGCTTGGCAGCCGCCTCTCGGAGAGAAAAGAAAATGTCACACATGACCGTCGGGCAGCTCACCCCCGACTTGGTGATGACGTTGAAGATGCGGTCGACGTACTGCCGCAGGTTCTCCTGCAATGAGATGTGGGTGGGACACCCCAACAGTGCCCATGTGGACCCGACTCTCTCCCAGGCTGCATAGCACCTCAACCACATGGGGAGGGAGCGCGTCCAGAGGTCGGACACCAGCCCAGAGCAGCCTCGGGGAGCTGTGGCAGCAAAAGATACAATTCCCATCATGGTTTTTAAAAAAACCCTCCTAAAATACGTACTGACCAGTTATAGTAATTCATATAGTGCAAATAATAGGGGTTCTGGGGTGTGGGGAAAGCCACACTGTGTCCCCTCCTCCGTGCCTGACCTCATTAACTAAACACAGTCAAATTCACTGAAGTGTAAGTTCCCGAAGGTGAGAACCTTGTCTTTTTTTTTTTTTTTTTAAGGCACAACAAAGACATCGCCTGATCTGGATGGAGAAATCATAAAAAAGACAGAAATATTTAGGGTGAAATGTCAAAATTAGGGAGTTTTGATGTTTTAAGAAACAGCTCTGGGAACAGCCTGGGTGGTAGGTTTGAGACCTGTGTTTGTTGAGGGCTGGGGAGACTGAGGCTGGTGAGGCCACGCCATGCAGGGGTGCAGGGGGCAGGGCAGGGGGAGGGCTCCTGGCTGTCCCAGGAAGGGAAGGAGCAGGAGAAGAGTGGCAGGCCACAGAGTGGTGCTCATGGCAGGAAGGAACTCAAGAGCAAAGACAGACGGTGGCCAATCGTGGCCTGGGATTGGTTCCCTCACAGCAGGTGAAGTCAGCGTCTGCCTCAGGCTCCTGTGCGTTCCCTTGCAAAGCACGCCCTGCCCCACCTGACAGAGCCTCAAGACAGGCGCTGGCTCTGGAAAGTGTTGGTGAACGAGCCGGAGCCCCTTACCATGTTGTTTTCAAGGTTTTCGCCATCTTTCAGCTTCACGGGGTCGATTTCGCAGGGTTTGTGGCTCTGGCATATCTGGAAAGAGCATTTGCGACCAGGAGTGAGTGAGACAGATCCCAGGAGCTCAGGGGGCAGGGGGCAGCAGTATCAGCTCAGGGACGGATGCCATGAGCCTTGTTCAGAACACAGCTGCCCACAGCCAGCCCCCCCACCAGCTGCATGGGGAAGAGTGGCCGCAGACCAGGCAGTGTGCGAGGCTGGAGTTCCGAGGGGAACGGGACTTCCTGGAAGATGGTTCTGCATTATCTCCCATGGAACCCGGCGCCATAAAGCTTCACAACGTTTCACTTCAAAGTGCTGCCAGGAAACCGCACAGAGGCTCAACCAGCACAGCACGGGGCCTGTTTTTTAGGGAATTGCCCAGGTGCCCATGAAGGGCTCAGGGAAGAAATGCTGAGTCCCATGGAAAGGAAGCGTGTGGTTCCTTTCATGTGTCAACAGCTACAAGAAGTCGGGGCGGGGCCGCCACAGCTGCAGGGGGCTCCAGAGAAAACCCCAGGCCCTGCGAGGTTGGGGAGAGCCAGCACCTGTGGGAAGGGGTGCCCTCTCCTGCAGGGCCTCTGTCTTCAGAATAATGGGTTTTCTCAAGTGGTTTTTTAATTTGAGAAAATGAGGACGATTCTGAAATACACACGGCAGGTGTGTGGTGAGGCTGGGAACGCAGCTGACCTTAAAGTGACAGCTGTTCGTTCACATTGCGTTCCCTGTATGTCTGTCTGTCCCTCACACAGACATGTGGGTTCCTGCATGCACCCCCATAACACTGGGCCCTTGGGGACCCCGACCTACCTCCTCGATGGTGGGCTTCAGGGTGACGTGCAGGTAGTGCATCCCCGCCAGCTTCATCGTCTCGTCAATGCACTTGGATGTCAACGAGTTTCCTCGGAAAATGGTGTTGGGGTCCCTGGAAGACAGCATCGGGGTGACTTCTGTCTCCTCAGCGAGCGAGGTGGAGGAGAAGCAGAACCTATTCTGGAGTGCCCGTCCTCAGAGGCAGGCACACGCCCGCCCGGGGAGTCTGCTATCGGGGGCTTTAGAAGGAGCCCGAGACCAGAGCGGACATGTCACAGCAGGGGTCCTGGCCGTCCTGTCTGTGTAACACGTCAGCAACACGCCTCCTGCCATCAACCCATCCAAAGGGACAGGAGCTGGCGGTGCTCCCCTCCCTGGGGCTTGTTTTATACAAATGAACCACCGAATGCCTCTAAGGACCAAACCTGGGGCCAGCACAGGAGATCTGGCAGGGAAGGGCTGTGCTTTCTAGAACCTCTTTCAACCAGGCTGCGTCTGGGTGTTTCTGCACTGAGGGACCCAGGGCATGTAGAACCCGCTCCACTAGTGGGGCAGGTCCTGGGATCCAGCGACCCAGGCCTCGAAGGGGGGCTTGACACTGGACTGAGCCCGTTCCTGAGGCAGCCGGTGCCACAGTCACCCCCTTCTTGCACACGCACCTTGAGATTTCCGGAAGAAAAGGTACAATTTTAAAGACAGTAAGTGTCTCTCTGAAAGAAAACTGGAATCTATATGGTTTCCTTATCTGCCCCATCCCTGTGCTGTGACGTGTTTTGGAGGAGACTTCTGCTGCCCGGGGCCCCCCAACTTTGCCCAGCTCCAGCCCCAGCCCCAGCCCCAGCCCCAGCCCATCACCAGGCCAGACCCCTGGGAAATGAGGGGTCCGGGCAGAGGCCGCACTCACTGTGTCCTCCGGACCTCGGCGTTGGCGATGGCGCTGATGAAGGGCACCACTCGGCCATAGTGCAGGAAGAGTCGCACCAGCGGGATGGCCGCCTCCTGCTTTTCTCTGCACACCTCGCCCAGGATGTGAGCCGTGGACGCCGAGACGGGCTGCGTAGGGACACAGCGTGACCCCAGGGCAGCTTCCAGGCCCCCCCCCGACACCCCCTCACCCAGCAAAGGGAGACTCAGATGTTCCTGCGCACAAAACGGGCCCAGAGGGGCCAGGCTACAGGGAAGTCACCAGTAGGGACCAGGCGGCCCAGGTGGGGGCCGCGGTGGCTGCGGGGATTAGGGACAGGGCGGGGGCGGGGGGGGGGGCGCTGAGGTTACAGGTGCACAAGCACAGGAGTACCTCCACGTCCGCAGACTTCAGCAGCAGGTCCCGCAGGGGGCTGTAGTAGTCGGAGGAGAAGACGTGGTCTTCTGTGTACACCACGTTCAACCGCAGGGACCCCAGGTCCCCAGGCTTCAGGCTCTTACTGCCATTGTCTCGGGGCTGCAGGAAGTACCTGGGCGCAGGACACAGGACAGGTGGCGTGAGGCCGCAGCACCTCCCAGGGCTGTCCCCCGTCAAGGGGGGGCTCTGTGTCAGGGTCTGAGGCAGGAGGGGCTCAGGGGGATTCTGTAGGACAGCCCCTGCAGGGTCCCTGCACCCGGGGCATTCCCCTAGGGATGTTTCCTATCAGAGCTGCCAACACAGGACACAGAGCCACGGGACAAAGATCATGATGGGAAAAGGGGAAGGGTGGGAAGAAAGGAGAGGATGAGGAGGGGGAGGGGGTGAACACGACAGTGGCTAGCAACAAGCAGAGCAAAACTGAAAGGATTCAAAGAAACGTGTGGCAGAGCTTCCAACATGAGGGGGGTGTTGAGCTCGTGCTGGCGGGCGGGGCAGACCACTGCGCACACCACCGCTTCAGCAGTGCTTCCCACACGCTCTGCCTCTCCTGGGTCCCACCCCGTGCAGCGCTAGACTAGCTAGGACTTGGCAGAATGAGAGCAGGTGGCCAGAGAGGAAGCTGACGTGTGCATTTCGTTTGGGCTGTAAAGTGTAAAGACGCAGCCTTGTGCCCCTCTGACTTGTTAACTCTGTCCCTCCGCCCGCAGCTCGGGACGGCAGGCAGGCACGCGCCACCTTACCACGCTTCGTAGGAGCTGGACTGCCGCAGCACTTTCAGCGGAATCCGTAGTTCTCCCAGAAACTCGTCCCCAAATTTCAAGTTACTGGCGTTCCAGAGGTCAACCCTGAAAAACAACAGTCGGCATGTGGATGCTCTGGAGAACGGCCGGGGGAGGCAGAGGCTGTTGCTGGCGTCCTTTCTCCCAGCAGGAGGGTTGGAGCACGGCGGAGCCTTCGGTTCCACCAAGTCAGGCTCTGTGGAGATCTACACCGACTGGGGGCATTTAAGACGTGAGGTCAAGCAGGACCAGGCTTTGGTGTGGAGATGTGCATTGCCCGGGCTGCCAGGACCCAGAGGAGGTAGAGGCCGAGCCTCAGGCAGGTCGGTGAGCTGCCTCCTGTCTTTGTAACAGGAGGGAAGTGCTGTGCCCTGAAGACAGGAGCGTCCCCTGCCTGTACCTGGGAGAGGTCCCAGGGTGGCAGGACCTGCCCTCAGGGCTGGGCCGTGTCTCAGACACGGCAGGAGCACCCAGCAGGTGGCCTCAGTCTGCGGGCTCTGCATAATGGAGGGAATAAATGAAATCTAGCTCTGCTCAGGCTAATGCAGAGAATGGTACCCACGGGGGGCTGGCCAGGCTGCCCAACCTAACAGCCAGGATGTCCCCTACCTTCCGTGAAAGTACACCTGGAAGAAAAACTGTGTCTGATTCCTCCTTCCCTACCTGCACTCAGAACCCCGCACCCAAGATCCCTCCGACCTACCACTGTGACTCATACCCGAGGGCCTGTCACTGCCGGCTGCAAGCTCAGCACAATGTGCCATCTCTGAGAAACGTCCACACCCCCCTGCTAAAGAGTCTGTCACCCATGAGCCTTTTCCTCCAGAGAGAATTCTGTTCCCTCCGATTTGGGGACGTGGCGATTGCACACGAGTGACAGATGGAGGTGGACGACGCTCCCCGGTGCTAACTAGCGAGCATGGCATACCCCCACAGCAAACAGCTTAATCAGAGGATATCCATGAGCTGCAATTTAAGACCGGGGAAAATTCTAGAAGACTGTAGCAGCCCTTCGGTTGCCCCTGCAAATCCGAGCAGGGGCCGTGGACATCACAGCAGGCGAAGGATGTCCCGCAGGAACACGCAGGAACACAGACATGAACACTGACCCGTGCAGACACTTAGAATTACAAGCAGAAGACTCTTCAACCTGCCGAGCAACACTTCAGCAAACTACGAACAAGTCGCCGGGCAGCCTTTTCTTTTTAATAAGAGAAGCATTTAAAAGCATCTTTGGTTTGGATGCTTAGAAAAAGAACTAGGACTTCACGCTTGAACTCAAAGCCGAGTCTTTCATAAACACTTCTTTCTCTGAACAAAGAAGCAGAGCCGTCGGTCTGAAAGCAGGCAGTGTGCAGTCAAACCTCAAATAAGGCCTGCAGACCTCCAGTGGGGACCTTCTCGACTTGGGGTCACTTCGCCTCGGCTTCAGTATTTTGAAATGGAAGATTTAAACTGCCTGGAAACACGTAAAGCTGGGCTCAAACCAAGATCTGTGTGTGGAGGCCACGACCCCTCAGGACTTGAGCCCAGGAGAGGGCCGAGCAGAGCCCCAAGGTCCCCCGCACCTGGGAGAGGGAAGAGCCCTGGCCTGTACCCTGTACCCCAAAGGTCAGCCCCCACCGGGCCTGGAGCCCCCCACAGCTTGGTTATTGCTCAGAGGCCCGGAAAGCCGCTGCAGGTTCGAGGGAGGGATTCCAGAGTACCCCGCAAATGAACGCCTCGGAAAACCCTGGCCTAAAGGAAAGGAGATTTTAAATCGTGTCAAATCAGGGCATTCCTACGCTTCTCCTGAACCGGCTACTCAGACCCAGGGGTGGGCACCCGGGCCCAGGACGACGGAACGCACAGCTGGCTTAGGATGCTCTCTCCCAGGCACCTTACCCCTGGGGCAGGCGCTGCAGGTGGGCGGGGCTTCCTACAGGCAGAGCAGGCGAAGTGGGCCCCTGAGGGGATCCTAAAACTGATGCGGGTGAACTCAGGCTGGGATCTTCCAGGGCAGGGGTGGGGAACCTTTTTTCTGCCAAGGGCCACTTGGATATTTATAACATCATTCACAGGCCATACAAAATTATCAACTTAAAAATTAGCCTGCTATATGTGGCCAAACATTTAATTAACTCACCCCTAATGCAGATCAAATGAGTTCTCAGGCCTTACACTGCCCGCGGGCAGGGCCTTCCCCACCCCTGTTCTAGGTGACAAGTACCGACTCTGCACACCGAAGGCTGTGTCAGGAGAGTCCCAAAGCAGCCGGACTGTACAGCCGAGTTTGCCCCTTGGGAAAGTAAGTGTCCTTTCAGCCACAGCCACCCGAACACCTGGGTGATTATGACTGATTCCAATTTCCAACATCCTCGTGTTGAAATCACCAAGAACGTTAAAACCCCCCTATCCACTCCCCTATGTTTTTGCTCAGTGGTTAGAGCATTGGCCTGCACACGAAGAGTCTCAGGTTTGATTCCCAGTCAAGGGCACATACATGGGCTGCAGGTGCCATCTCCAGCCCCCAGCCCCGATCAGGGTGTGTGCGGGAGGCAACCAATCGATATGTCTCTCTCACATCGATATTTTTTTCTCTCTCTCCCCCTCCCTCCTTTCCACTCTCTCTGAAAAAGCAATGGAAAAAATGTCCTCAGGCGAGGATTAACCAAAAAACAAAGCGAAACAAAACAAAAGCGGACAGAAGAGGTGAGTTCAGCCTCCAACCAGGAATCTCGAAACCCTGATTCTTGCTCACCGGATTTCAAGTTTGTCCACATCCTCCTCCTCGAAGTCGAAGTGGGACTTTCGGCTGTAGCTGCAGGGTCTGGTCACCTGGTGGTGCAGAGGGAGGGAGAGGGAGTTAGACGGAGCGCCTGCCCTGGACCAACCAGCTCAGGGGTGGAGGCTGTGCGCCCCACCTACCGAGAATGAGCAGAGGCTGGACTGGGGCCCAATTCCGGCGAGTGGGGGTGTGGGGCTACGCAGGGCACATCACACTAACTTCCATGTACCCTCCCAGCACCCAGGAGCATCCTGCCAGTTCCCTCCCTCCTCCAGACATCCACTCCTCCTGCTGACCACCTCCCCCTCTGACATCCACTCCTCCTGCTGACCACCTCCCCCTCCTGACATCCACTCCTCCTGCTGACCACCTCCCCCTCCTGACATCCACTCCTCCTGCTGACCACCTCCCTCTCCTGACATCCACTCCTCCTGCTGACCACCTCCCCTTCCTGACATCCACTCCTCCTGCTGACCACCTCCCTCTCCTGACATCCACTCCTCCTGCTGACCACCTCCCCTTCCTGACATCCACTCCTACTGCTGACCACCTCCCCCTCCTGACATCCACTCCTCCTGCTGACCACCTCCCGTTCCTGATATCCACTCCTCCTGCTGACCACCTCCCCCTCCTGACATCCACTCCTCCTGCTGACCACCTCCCCCTCCTGACATCCACTCCTCCTGCTGACCACCTCCCCCTCCTGACATCCACTCCTCCTGCTGACCACCTCCCCTTCCTGATATCCACTCCTCCTGCTGACCACCTCCCCCTCCTGACATCCACTCCTCCTGCTGACCACCTCCCCTTCCTGATATCCATGCCCTCATGCCTCCAATCTGCTCCTCCCCAGCTTTCCCACCTGCTGCCTCCACCTTGTTGGCAGCCTGTCCTTGTACTGCCCAAGCCCAGCTCCCACCAGCCACAGCCCAGCTGGCCCCGACCTAATCTCCTTTGGCTAAAACTTCTGAAGGCCCCCAGGGTCCCCACTTGTCTTCCTCACCCAGCACAGGGGATCTTTCCACAACCTGTGCCCCCTGCCCAGCTCACTCCTGAGGCCATTCCTCACTCTGCTCCACGCTGGGAAGCCGGCAGTTGTCTCTGAAGTGCCACCTCCTCCAGGAAGCCCCCTGCGCCCCCTGCCTGGCATGACCCCAATACTATGATGAGGTGTCTGGCTTCCAGGGGGATGGCACAGAGGCTGGCCTGCTTCCTCCCTGCCTTACTCCTGCCTGTCACCTAACATATCTATCGAGTGAATGAAGGTGACTTACAGAATTTTAAATCATTTCACTTAGATATTTAAGGGTTTTTAGGTAAGTCTGGCTTTTATCCTGGAATAAGCTGGGCTGGAGACTACCTCCTGTTGAAACTCCTGCAGGAGGCTGCCTGCCAGCCCCTCGCTCCCCGCCGGGCGCAGGGTCCCCTGGCAGGGCTGGGCCTCGGGCTGTTTGCCAGCCCAGGCTGAAAGGAGGTGAGGAGAACCTGACAAGAGGGAGCGTGCGGCTAAGCAGGGCTGAGCCTCTGAGTCAAAGGACATCAACTCCACACACAAGCATCTTCCAAAGGTCCTCCGGGCGGAGGCTGCGAGCGAGGCCCTAACCAGCAGCACCGAGAGCCCAGGTCTAGGCCTTCTCTGGAAGCCTGAGGCTTCGGCCCTACTGCTACATTCAATCATCTGGGGCCGTTAAACTCATCTAGTGAGTTGAGACCCACAATTTTCGCCAAATCCACCATAGCAAGTACGCAGCGCTCCTCATGTGAGTGAGAACCACACAGGAGTGGATGCAGCTGTTGGCGGGAAGTGCATCACGGTGTGAAGTCAGTGCGTCACGGTGTGAAGTCTGTGCCTTACTGCGTGTTGTGGTAAAATCAAAAGCTGGGAAAGCGCCTGTCTGAGCCTCCAGACATGGAAGGTGCTGCCGCCTTTAATGCACTTTCATGTTAAGGACTTTCCTGCAGTTTCTGTTCCAGGTGTCATCCCTGCCTTTGGAGACACAGCATGAGTCCCTGGAGGTGAGGGTGGCCGCATGGGCTTCCTGGCTTATCTTCAGTCTGTTAAGAACCATTTCCTCACCCAACTATAAAGCCAGAATGTCCATCTTGGACAGAGAGGGGCCCTTCACTACGCCCTCAGGTTCCCGGCTCCATCGCCCTCCCCAGGGCTACCCCAAGGCCAGCCACTGACTTCCATGGAGGAAACGTGTGAGCTTCCAGAGGCCAGCGGAGAAGGCCCAGGTCCTCTGCCCATGAGCGCTTGGTTCTAACTCATCTCTCCAACTTCATTTTCCAAAATTCCTCGTTTTTCACCCGACCTCACTCTGCATTCCAGGTACAGTTTCCTGCACCCTCCTGACCTCCACACCTGTGCATGCCCCCTCCCAGACTGTCCCCACTCTGGGAGCCTCACCCCACGCCCCCGGCAGCACTGCTGGCTGCAATTGCTTTTTGTCTCCTGGAGCCACTAACTGAACCTTCACTGCAGCAAGTGGAATGATCCCTCCTGCTGGGCTGCAGGATCGTGAGGAGGACGGGAGCGAGGGCCTCGGTCATCCTCACCTACCATGACCTGGTGGAGAGTAAGCATTCAAGAAACCTTTGAGGACGGAAAGAACGCCCGCCTCAGTACATTCCGTATGGGCCGTCTTATCACTACACCAGCTGTGTGCACTGTGGTTCCGGTCCGGTCTTCAGCCCTCACACCCTGCAGCTTACTAATCTTGGTGGTTCACATTCGGAGAGGCAGCTGGGGGATCTCTGTGTCCAAAAACACTTCCTCTTTGCTTCAAAACCCTCACTATTTCTGGTGAAACAAGCCTCCCTTCACTGCTCAGGAAAGATTGGGTGGAAAAGGCCAAAAAAAAACAAAAAAAACAAAACCACCACCACCAACAAAAAAAAACCCCGGAAAAAAAACACCCACAAAAACAAAACAATTAAGAAAACCCAAAGTCCTGATCATTTGGAAAGAATGAATTGGTAAGAACGCAACTCGAAGCTGAGTCATTCTGGAAGCAGGGGTGGCCTTTCTTTCTAGGGAGCAGGGGCTGCAGAGTGGGGGAATCTCTGGTGGGGGACGTCACCCAGAGAACTTTCAGAGGAAGCAACTGGCTGAGAGCCTTCAGATCGAGACTTTTTGCCAAAGGATCTCGGGGGCAGGGTTTCAACTCAACATTGAAATCACTGAGACACCGACCTCAAAGTAAAACACCTCGTCAAACTGAGGGTTGTTGGTCTTCTTTTTCACTTTCGTCTTCTTGGCTTCCGATCTGTAATCAAGGGAGGAAGGATCAGGATCAGAAATAACACTTGCGATGCCAAATCTCTCAGCCTTGAGACTGAGCTATCAAATGCACAAGTAATTTGCTGCCTCTATTTATCTTATAAATATTTCTGTTTGTCTCCAACCCCAGATGGTATGCAAATCAGGGACCTTTACTGAGCCAAAAATACTCAGCATGAAAAACATCAAGTCTTCCTTTTTTTCACAAAACCATGTGAGGCCAATAAAGGAAACAAAAGGAAGTCAAGATTACACATTCTACCTGCAGCGCATCCTCCCTTCCTCTGACTGAGGAATGCTCCCCATCCTTCTGGTGCCTATGCCCCACCCTGCAGGCCCGGGGGCCCGGGCAGGTGCGGGTGGCAGCTACTTGCCTGTATGGTCCTGCAAGTGTCACAGTGGCGTAAGGGTCGCACTGCCCATTCACGATGGGGAGGCCTTGGCACTCGAGGATGCTGTGGAGAGAAGCGGGAGGGGTGGTCAGGAGTGGGAGATGAAAGGCCCGCAGGCTGCAGCTCACAGCCTCCCTAGGTCCAAGAGCAGCTGTCTCACAGCTCAAGGCCAAGGGCCCTGAGCCATGTGGGGGTGGCTGTCCAGGGCTGGAAGCTTCCATCCACTGATTAGCAACCAGAAAACATCTGGGGTGGGAGAGAGTGTGCGCTGCTTTCAGGGTAGAGGAGCCTCTGCATGGAGAGCGTTTCCAGTGAATTTTCATGAGCACGTCACTGCCTACTCTCCTAGGAGCCGGTGCTATTCCAGAGCTGTCCACGACGCATGCACTGGCCTCTCCATAACCTTACGGAGCCGCACTGTTGTGAAGTCCAGGTTAGAAGTGGGGGAGTTGAGGCGCAGGCTTACAGCTACCGCCTGTGCCTAACCTCCATGCCACATGCGCCTCATGACAGTGGAGGATGCCCCAGTCTCAAGCTACACTCACGCCTGCAGGCCCGGGGCCAGCTGTCCTGACTCATGTCAGGGAGTGAGTCAGACTCGCTCCCTGAGCGTCCTGTCATTAATCCCATCGCATCTTCATGCCCCAGTCCGTTCTGTGGGCTGCTCCTCCCCAGGTGGCAGGTCAGTGTTGAGTGGACGTGGGTGCTGCTGCTGCCCTGATTCTGCTGTCGTCTGTAAAGGACACAGCCGCTGGGTCTTGTGCTGATCAGTGGTTAAGAGTCTCTTGCTTCGGGCCGATCGTGGCAATGTTTGGTTGAAGCTTTGTCCGGAGGGGCCTGCAACTGCTCTTGGTTTGGCCCCACTTCACAGGTGTGGCCTCCTGGGGCCCGTGCAGGGTGTCCTGATGGCTCTCCACTGGGCTGGGGACTCAAATAAGTCTCACCCCACAAAGGGAGCCCTCAGCCCACAGCCCCCTTGCTCTGCCCAACCCTGGCTCTTCACCTTTGATCACACTGGCTGGTGGAGCACTGGGAAGTCCTCCCTCTCCCAAACATGCCCACAGTGGCCTCGCCCCCCTCCGAGCTCTGCCTGGGACACCTCCCCCCCATGTCACAGCACACCTCCAGGACAAAAGCTGGGTGCCATGGCTCATCTCGTCTGCTCCCCTTATTAGGGAGTCACAGCTAAGCTGTCAGTTGCCCGAGTCCTGAGCTGGTCCACTCCTAAGGCACCCAGCTCTTCAGACGTTTGTGGTGGGAGAGGGGACTCGGTTCCCACTATTCCAGTGTGGCCGGAAGCCAAAGTCCTAATCCTACGTCTGTATGTCAGGTTGGCTACATACAGACGCATGATCAGTTCCTCTCAGCCATCTGAGTGCCCTTCTCCTCATTCCTTCCCACGTCAGCGGCACTGAGCTACTGTCCCTCCTGGGGAGGCTTCAGGTTCTCCATTTACCAGAACATTCCTTTCTGGGAGAGGGGTTTGCTCCTCCACTCCATGGCATTGCGGTCCTCAGAATTAGTGCCACCCTGTCCTGGCCATTTCTTCATTTCTGCACCACTTTTCTTCTGGAACTCCTGTTAGGGAAGGTGGGGCCTCATGGCTCGGCCATGACTTCAATGAGCTTTATCTAATATTTTTAAATCTTTCTCTTTTCACTCTACTTTCTGGGATACGTCTGCATTTCCCTCCCAGATTACTGACTTGGTCGTTGGTTATCTTTCTCCCTTCATTAACTCATCATTATAAAAAATCCACTCATCCCTTCATTCATCCCTAAACTAGGCTTTACTCATCCATTAACTTGCCATTACACACATATTTGTTGAGCTCTCACATTTCGGGCACGTTTCCAGGACTGAGAGTGGAGCCGTGAGAGGACGGAAGCTCGTGTGTGGAGCGCGCATGTAGTTACCATGTGTGACAGGGGGAGGAAATAAACTACCTACAAGAGGGCAAAATGCAGGGTGGTGGTCGACCCCTCAGGTGCCTGGGGGCCTCAGGCTGAGGTCTTAAGGGCCAGGACTCACCCATCCTAAGCTGGGGGAGACAGGGGCCCCCAAAGGGCAGCAGCTCTGAGAGAGGAAGCAGAGGTAGGATGACAGCTTGTTCCAGGGGTGTGAGGGGAGGCCCCGCTCCCTCCCTGTGGATATGGTACCCACTGAGCCTGGATGCATTTTTATTACATTCAGTTGTTGATCAAGAAGTTCCAGACCACCCCCACTCGGAATCCTCAGAGACAATAGCTTTTCACAGCCAACAGAGCATCTAACACAGCGGTTCTCAACCTGTGGGTCGAACGACCCTTTCACAGCGACCCTTTCACAGGGGTCGCCTAAGACCATCCTGCATATCAGATATTTACATTACGATTCACAACAGTAGCAACATTACAGTTATGAAGTAGCAACGAAAATAATTTTATGGTTGGGTCACAACATGAGGAACTGTATTTAAAGGGCCAGAAGGTTAAGAACCACTGATCTAACAGGACTGACCCTTCACCCTTATGTCTTAGAGAAGCGCTGCAGGTGCAGGCAGCAGCCACCTGGGGCACATTCAGCCTCTGCATAGATGGCACTTCCACGCCTTCTTTTAAAGACCAATTTGCGAGCTGCTCTGTTCTCTGTCTCAGAACAAAGCCTGGCTCCTGATCGCAGTCACCCCAAGACATCTCCGAGAAACAGGAAAGTCAGTACCCGACCATCTGGCCCGCAGCATGCACCAACTGGAACAGAGAGGGTGTTAGCCTCCATCACACCCTCCTCCACGGCGTCACTTCGTTAGCGCCCTAACAGCTTTAGCTGGATTGCGGCTCAGCTGCACGATCCTGGGCTGGGGGTGTGGTGCTCTCCTGAGCGGCTTGGAGCACATGAAGCCAAAGCTGACTTCACTTGAAAAGACATATACACACACAAGGTGCGCCTGTCCAGGCCGTTTCCACACAAAACAAACCTCACAAATGCTTAGGCATGCTGCAGGTAAGTAAAGGGAGAAGATACAGTGCTTACGGCACTGGGCATTATTCCATCTTAGAAAGGGCACTTGAAACATGCCAAGTGACGAAAACAGCCAGCTAATCTGGAATCTCAAGGACCAGAGTACAATATTTTATGTCTATTTTAACATTTATAGGTTTCTATTGTCAACCTGACCCTTAAAATAGTGATGCCTCACAGCTGAGGGAAGAGCCTGCAGCTGTGAACTCGTTTCCATCTTCTTCCTTCCCTCGATGTGGGCACGTCCTGGTGCCCCGCCCCCCGCCCCCCCCCCCCCCCCCCCGCACCAGGGAGAAAACAATCTGCATTTTGGCCGGGCCTGGGTGCAGCATGAGGGCTGCAGACGCCCCAGTTGTGGGTGACCAGTGCCATCCATGGTCACCAGCAGAGGGCCCCTGCTGCCTGGCCAGCCTCCACTCCTACCCGTGGCTTTGGAAGGCTTCCTGTCCCTAGAAGGAGCCACAAATCAAGAGCCTGTCAGCTGTTCTTGCTTTCTGTAATTCCTTAATAATAGAAAATGAGATCTTTATTGGAGTTGACATTTTGGAAGCCTGAAAGTAGGTAATTTCTCGGTTGGGTGCCTCCTGGAGGTGGAGCCGCCTTCTCTGACGATCAGAGTCTCAGCGTCTGGCCACCGAGCAGGGCCCATGGGCCAGTCGGGAGGGGCGGCTCAGCCAGCCAGCATCTGCCCGGTTGTCAATAGAACCTTTGTCTGCAAAGTGACAGAGCTTGCAAGTGGGAAAACACAAGAAACCTCGCTCTCGGAAAAAGTGGCAGGCACAGGATACCCAAGGAAAGACCATCTACAGGGACAAGAAAGGAAGGACTGCGAGAGCGGGTGAGCAACGCTCAGTCTCAGGAGAGCAGAGCCAGGAACGGCACCATGTCTTCCTTCCAACTTCCTGCACAAACGATGGCCGCGTTTCTCCCGTACACACCTCTGTTCTAAAGGAAGAGACTCGGGGCCCAAAAATACATCCACAAATAATCAGTTCATCTTCAGTCCACGGCATGACTGTGGAGACCGCCATGGCCCCAGCACGCCTCCAGGTCACACAGGTCAAACTTAACTCACTCCACAAGTGGCCACAGAACCTCCACGCTGTGTGCAGCCGCTGGCCAACAGGCTCGCATCCTTCGGGCTTTTCTCAGTGAGATGAAATGTTACGTGTGATTAATGTAACGCATTAGCGTGCCTCTCCCTCTAGAACATATGCTCTAGAAGGCTGAGCATAGTGGCTGGCGCTTAGTAGGGGCTCACTGAATAGTTTAGAATAAATGATTAAAAGATGCTGTGTTCATCTTTGTTGGAAATAACAAAAGAATTAGGAGATAGGATCCCTGAGTCCCAGTTTGAAATCCAGTTGGAAAGACCGGAGACCAAGATGGCAGCATAGGTAAACACCGGAGACTGCTGCCACAAACAACCACTTCAAAAATACAACTAAAAGACGGAACGGACATCACCCAGAACCACAGGAAGGCTGGCTGAGGAGAGACTCTTCAACTAGAAGGAAAGACAACAGCATACCGAGGCTCAGAGGAGGCGCAGTGTGGAAAATATAAAGGTGCGGTGGTGCGCGCGCAGAGCGGGCTGGTGGCTGAGGGCGCGGTTGTCGTTTTCAATCAGGAGGGAGTCTCAGACTCTGAGCTCCAGATCCGGGTGAGTCTCTAGGGACTCAGACTCAAACGGGAGAAGCGGGATTGTCTGACATCAGTTGGAACGTGAGGGCAGCTTTCTTTCCGAGGTTTGCAGCGGTTGCCGGGGTTCTGAGAAGCAGAGCCTCTGGGAACGGGACTGAGAGCAGCCATAACTGCTCCCTCCACACGCCCTGTTGAGCCCGCCCCGCCCAAGCCCTGCGCAGAGCCATTTGCCGGATCGCCTCAGGCAAAGGCTAGATTAGCACCTCTCCAGAGGACAGAAGTTTTCCCACTGCAGACACAGCTGATTCTCACAGCCAGTCGGCCTGGTGGTCAAATCCCTCTAGTATTAACTACAACAATCAAGGCTTAACTACAACAAGACTGCGCACAAAGACCACAAGGGGGTGCACCAAGAAAGT